TTCCCCCCCCCCCCCCCCCCCGACACCTCTCTGGTTAGGGACTGATCCTTCCCTGGGGATTTTCCCCGCTCACGTGCTGGCTGAGCTCAGGAACTGCCTGCCTGCCCCCAGGTGGGGCTGCGGCTCTGGCCTCCCCAGGCCCATCCTCCTCAACAGCTACCCCAACCCATGTCAAGGCTAGGCAGGGACCCTGGACAAAGGGGCAGGAAGTGGCCCATCTCCTCACCAGTGAGCAGGCTGGGGTGGCAAGGCCAAGGGCTACTGCTTGCCCAGGGCAGAGATTGGTACTGGTTGGCATCCAGGCACAGAAGCCACTCTGTCGCCTTGTGACCAGGGCCAGCCTCAGGCACCCAGGCTCGTCATGGCAGAGCTGGTCGACAGCCTGTGGTCCCATCTGCCTCCATACCAGGAAAGGCCTGCAGCTCCCCAGCCCCGCTTGGCAGCACTGCCTCTGCCCACCTGCCTTTAAACAGACAACGGGGGCTGCTCCCCCATCACACACAGGGTTGTTTCAAGGTGCGAGGCTCCAACCTGAGGGAATGTTTCTGACAACCCCCACTGGTCCCCTATCCTTGTAGCGCCCTGGCCTTGTATCCAGACTGGCTCAGAGCCATTGCTGCCTGGCAAGGCTTGGGGGAGCACCAGGACCCTGCTGTTGGAACCTCTTGGTGCTGGTGCACTGACGCTGTGCCTTGTCACCTACTGAGCTGCAAGAGGAACCAAGAGGGGTCAAGCCCTGGTTGGTGAAGGACAATTCTGCAGAGCCCGGGTAACCCAGCGCTAGAACATACATCCACAGTGACAGTTTTGTCTGAACACACCTGGCCTGGGGAACACTTCCCTCATCCAGGACCCCCCGAGTGTCCAGAGCCAGGAAAGGGCTGCCCACGAGCGAGGACAGTCCTTCCTGGGCTCTCTGCAGCACCCCCTCTTCCAATGGTCTGACATCTCAGGGCCTTGCTAGGTTTCATGGAGCAGAGGGTCCCCCTCTCCCAGGAGCGGCCAGGACTCTGTCCTCATACAGGTGGGGCTCGACTGGGCAGGCCTAGCCCCGAGACCTCCTAAAGGGCAAGCTGGCTATGTGCACAAAGACAGAGCAGCTGAGGCCAAGGCCCAGACCCCTACACCAGAGTCTCCAGCACAGCTTCCGTCCCCCGGAGAGAGGTTGACCCTCCCAGGGGCAGCACATGGGAGTTGGAACCACATTCTTCTCTTCCTCCCCTCACAGGGCGGCCTTAGGCAAGTCATGCCGCCCTGTGCCTTGATCATCTGTCATCACAGGTCACTTCTGCCTAGCCAGGTCTTGGCATCCAGAGCAGGAACGGGACGTCCTGCTTCTCAGCTACCCTCACACCCTCCTCAGCGCCGAGACCGCCCAACCACGCCTTTCATCATGGTGTGCCTGTGGACTCCCAGGGCTTGCATACAGCCAGGCTTTTCCATTTTGAGTTTTTAAAGAGAAAAAAAAAAGAAAAATTGCCAGCATCTCAGAGTCTGTGGCACCTAAGGCCTGGGAGGGGGCAGACAAGGGTCACCCAAATCCCAAGCCAGGCTCTGTGCCTGTGCTGGGCCCAGTCTCAAGAGAAGCCATGAAGCCGGTGGGGTCCGCTTAGGAAGGAAACGTTCATTTCCATTTGTCCAAAACCACCTTGAGTTTTAAGTATGAATATTAACCTTGATGCTTTTTAACTATTGTATTAACTTGCTGAGATTTAGAAATACTGTTTTAAAAAAAAAAACTTTTTTAATTTCTGTATTTTTTTCTGTATTGTATCCTCATGGGACATTAGGGGTTTTCTACGGTAAGCACTCCTAAGGTTTTGGTAAAAATATTATCAAACATATACCCGACGATTCTTCCCTAGAAGAAAATCTTTACACCTGATAAAATATTTTGAAAAGAGAGGTAGTCTTTTTCCTTTATTGGTGCTGAAAGGAAGGACAGATAACGAGGAGAAGGAAAATAAAACTGTGAGGCTCAAGGCTGGTGTTCTCCACTTATTTGATCGACAAGCTGGGGCCAGGCTCTGCTCTGACTCCAGCCCCCAGGGCTGGGCAACCTGAGCGGGGTGTGGGGGGACAGCCTTTCCTGTCTCTACTTGCAGGATGGGCACAGCCCAAGTCTACCTGAAATGCTGAGGCCTCGGGCTGTTGGTCTCTTAATCAGCGTCTGCTTCCTCTGAGAATTGGGAGATAAATAGCAAAAGTGCACCTTGAGTACATGGAAGGAACAAGGCTGTGGCCACCTCGAGATTCTCTGGCCTTCCTGGTGAAGCAAGGCTGGGCTGGGCAGCTTTGCACCGCACCCCACCTGCCTCAAGACTTCTGAGGGGGCGGGAGGGCCTCCTGATACCAGGCAGCATGGAGGAGGGAGTGCGCACAGGGGAGGAGGGGACAGTTACACTTCCAGGCTCCCTTTCCTGAGGGCTGGTTTCCTGGGTGTGCACCTCAGAAGTGCTTTGGGACAGCTTCCTCTCTGTCGTCTCAGCAGCCTGGCGTTCAGGTCTCAGGTCTGGGCAGAACACCTGCTCGTGCTGCGCTGAGAGCAGATGCCCGGATGCTATAAATGTGGCTTGGTGAGGTTTCCCAATGGGTGAAAGGGCCAGAACCCAGTCCTCTCAGGCCTGGCTCTGCCAGGGTCTCCAAGCCCCTGGGACCCAGCCACAACTCAGTCTCCACCCTCTAGAAACCTTCCTAGCTAAAGCCAGACAGGCAGAGACCTGGGGATTCCCAGCAAGCGAGACAGGCAACGCAGGCTCCCGCCACTGGCACCACCCAGCTAAGAGAGTAGCATGTGCAGCCCATCTGCCAGCCCCAGCAAGACCCCTGCCTCCATCCCCTTCCAAGTAGGGCAGGAGACATCACTGCCTTGGAGCTTTCTGAGCAACTCAGAACCATTAGTACGCTGGTCTCCCTGGCCCGTCTATGCTGCCCTCCCACACCTGGAATTAGGAGCTGGCAGTGCCAAGATCCAAAAATGGAAGCGGGTCTCCTCCATGACCCGAGGCCGAGCAGGTCCCCAGAAGAAGAGGAACACCTTCAGTCTTCCTTCCCCACAAAGCCAGAACGATTCAGAGCCTGTCGCCCTCGGGCCACTTTATTTTTCAGCAAGTCAGGGTCAGTCTAGGGTGTCTGTAAGTCTGAACTCCATGGTGACATCTCCGGTGTGGGGGTGAAACTCCACAGCATAGCTGACTGTTTGCAGGCCATGTGGCGGCGCTCGGGGATCCAGCGTGGCACTGAAGAAGTACACGGCCTGCTTGCAGTGGGGGTTCCAGCAACAGTTCCCCTGTAGGCGGAGCGGCAAGAAGACCATGAGGGATCCCTGGCACCTGAGCCAGCTTCCTGGCCAGCCTCCAGCCCAGGCAGCTCCCAGTGAGAAAAAACTGCTCGGGGCCCAGGTGACTGGGGCCACGGAGGAGTTATCCTCTAGCCTGAGGAACCTGTGACAGGAATGCCTAGAGCACAAGGGGGTGGCACCTGTGCTTGGGTCAGCAAACATTTGTGGGCTGGCGCACAGAGCAGTACCTCATCTTCTGTGGGTTCCAGAAGGCCAGTGCTGACCATGCGGTCTGGGGTCAAGTGGTATTCCATCCACAGGACGGCCCCGTGGCTCCTCCCGGGCCTAGCAGGAAGTGTTGGGCAAAAAGAAAGTCATGCAAGGGATAAGTGGGCACAGCCATGGCCCATTCTCTGCTTTCCAGAAACCTCTGGTCTTCCCCACCTCCAGTCTGCCCAGATTGGAGCCCGTAACACTCTACCTAAAGGCCACACACAAAAAGCTGAGCAAGGATAACCAAGCTGAGAGTCCCCATTTGCTCTTCGCAGCCTGGCCAAGCACTCAGAGTAACAGGACAGAGCCAGCTCGGCTGCAGGAGGCCCAGCCCCCTCACCAGGCTGAGGGCCACAAGGCTCAGAGCACAGCCCCAGCACCAAAGGCTGAAAGACCCTCCCAGACACCCTGGACGGTAGCTCGTGCTCCGAAAAGGTGATGGCACCTTCTCTGCTTGTGCTGCATGCCCCCTTGTCCAAGGAACCCGAGGAGCTCTGGACTCAGGGCCTTCCCCTAGTTAGAAGTTCTTCCTCCAGGATGAAGCAACTTCCCTCCATGAAGGGAGTGGAGCTGGATAGGTCTGAATGCCTTGCAGCAAGCAGCCCTCACCAATTCCTAACCTGCTTTAATTCCCAGGAGAGCTCAGGAAAATGGTCCAATGGGTAACCATAGCAACCAAGTTCCCGTTTCTCTGCAGCTGTGATCTAAGAAGGGAGCCTCAGATGGGGAGATGAGCAAAGCCCTCTTTGGCTCTCCCCGCTACTCATACACACCCAGAGGCATGGGAGCCACACAGAACCACTTCTGACAAGGAAGGTCAAGGACAAAGCATTCTACCACTTGGAAGTGAGCCAAAAAAAGCATCTCTCAGGTCAGCCATGCTTCACCACATGGGCAATCACCTCTAGAGAGAAAGCAGCCCCCCCTTTTCTCCACCCCCCACGCCCTCCTGGAGCCTACACTCACCTCCTTAGCTCCATGGACCCTTCAGCACGCACAGGATGCTGGGGGACTAGCTGCTGAAAATCAAAGGTCAAGATCTGCTGGGGCTCAGAAAGGCGGCGGCAAGGGTACTCCCACAGTGGGTGCGGCTCGGCTTCCTTGCTCTCCTTGAAGTCCAGGGCACACTGAGAAGAGAAAAGGACTTGGGGGTCTGCAGAGACAGAGCCAGCAACTGGAGGAAGGGGATCTCTGTGGCCTGACTCCCTCAGGATATGCGCAGTCACATGGGCTGCCTGGTCACACCAGCTGGCTTCTCCCTCCCCTGCCCACTCTTTAGCTGGCTCCTGAGCATGTCACTCCACCTAAGCCTCACTTTCTCCCTTTTTAAAATGGGAAGACAATGCCTATCTCCTGAGCTATTTTGAGAACTAAATGTCTATATCAGTGAAAACACCTGACACTATCCACTACAGCTGCAAAACCACCAGACAGGAGGCTCATAGACTACAAGGAAGAGACAACCAGGTGACAAGCAATCCCAGTGCCTGGGAAAAGCACTGGCATCCAGCGGGAATGGGGCTGGGGCAGCACAGAAATGGGATAGGAAAAGGTGCCTGGTGGGGGTGAGTTCCAGGCCAGGTCCTGAAGGTCAAACAGGAGCTAGCAGGAAAAGAACAGGGGCGGGCAGAGGGAGTGCAGGCAAGAGCTAAGCAGGGAGAGGAGGTTGGGGGATAGCCCAGGTGAACTTGGGGGAATGGGGGGCAGCGGGGAAGGCAGGGAGTGATTCAGGGCTTTCCTGCAAGTGGACATGGCCAGATCAAAAATCTACAAGTTCACTTGGGCTCTGTGTGGAGGAAGGCTGGAGCAGGAGAAGCAGCAGGCTTCAGGTGAAAGGGGTCCAGACCAGGATAGGAACAGTGCAGGAGACATCTGGACTGCAAGCTCACAGGGAACATGATGACCAACTGCAAGTGAAGAGACGACTTGCCAGGGATGACATCTGGTGCCCCGAGCCTGGCTGGCAGGCCAGCCAGCTGTGAAGTGACACCAGGTCTAAGATGGGACACTGGAAGGGGCCAGGTGTGGGGGAAAGGCAGGTGGATTTGGGAAGCATAAAAGTCAAAGTGCCTGATGAAATTCAGTGGAGATGCGCACTGCTCTTAGCTATCTGCTCAGGAGAGATGCAAACACTGGCCAGGGATCCGAGTGGCAGAGCCATAGCAACAAGAGAGGGGACGGGGACAGGGACAGCCAGGAAGGGCAGGGTCAGGAGCAGGGGCCTGCCGGAGACCTAGAACACAGGACATCTCAGGGGATGGGAAGGGTGGGAGGAGCCCAGGAAAGAGCCTGAGGAATGGCTGAAGGGACCCAAAGCGCATGGCATCTTGGCGCAAAGGAGATTTCTAAAAGCATGGAATGGTCAGCAGTCTGCTGTGGAAGGGCAGGTAAAACGCAGACTGAACATATCCACTGGCTTCATTTACTTAATAAAATGTTTACATAGGCAACCCACATTCACTGTAGAAAAATGGGAACAGAAAGACAAGAGGTGGAAAACGGTGACCACCTCCTACGCACATGGCCAACACCGCGGGGTCACTCTTCTATCCCTTTTTCTGTGTATATGTGAATTTCTTTTTTTTTAATTAAATTAATTTATTCACTGTACATGTTTATGGGGTACAGTTTGTTATTTTACTATGTGCATGAATTTCTCAATACATTTAAAACAGGCGCATGCTCCTTACCCTGCCTTCCTTGTGTGGACATATCATGACTCTCTTCACTTCACTCCTCACAGATCCAAATACCACTGGTGCTGTCGTGACTGCCCTGGGTTCTGGGGGACACAGACCCTGGAGGCTGGCCCACTCCCTACTGCTGGACATCAGGGCACTGCCAATATCTACTATGTGAACAACCCGCAGGGACCCTCCCTACACATCCTTCTCTACACTCCAGCACGCTTTCCTGGAATGGAAAATTCCCAAGATGAAACTGACTGCCTCAGAAGCTTCCAGCCTTCTGGAAAGGCTATCTCAACAGAAAACAAGCTGCTGGCATTGGCAGGAGAAGTTCCAACAGCGTGGTGATGAATGAGCCCTAGCCTGAGATTCCAACTTGGGGGTTACAGCTGAGGTCAAAAAGGGCCCAGTACCATACAACAGACCTCAGGTTAATGTTCACGGAGAGCTGAGCAAAATGCAGCACCTGGCCTCTCTGCCCCCAACAGAAAGGTCTCCGCACACCGCCTGTTCTGCCCAGCTAGGTCCCTCTACAGAAGCCAGATGTCCCTGTCAGAGGCCTGCGGCCATGTAGAATGGGTGGGTAGGACACTACTCAGAGCTGCAGTCCTGCCTACCTTAATCATCTCGTCCATGATATGCACATCAAAACCTTCGCAGTCGCCACAGGGGCTCCGGATCCGCCACAGGTCCTGTGAGGAAGGCACAGTCCTGTCTACATGCACCCACCAGGGGACAGGGAAGTGTGGCCATATGAACAAGAAGGGTCAAGAGGACAAGGACAAGAGGCACATTGTGCGTCTCCTGCATGCCTGGAAAAGAGCCCCAAGGATGAAAGGACTCAGAAATACCAAGGATCCAGGATGGTTTCTGTTGTAGACTCTGGGGTGGGGATCTGCAAACTCTGACATGATCCTCTCCTATAGGGGGACACTCAGCCAGAGCTACCAGGCGTGGGTTTTTACGCATACTCAATGTCATTTCTTCAGGAATAAATGTATAAGCATTCTCCAAGGCTCTGTGCCTGTAAACAGAACATGCACATGATGGGAAAGAGAAAAAGTTCCCTTAAGGGAGGAAAGCAGAACACACTCAGGCCTGTCCACCTTCCATCCTCTGTCCCCTGGGACATATGCTTGGAAATAAGTGTCATTCTCTATGTCCCCTCTTTGGCCACACAAACCAGAATTCATGTGGAAATCCAATCAGATAAATAAATAACACACAAAAAAATTCCCAGAAATTAAGTGATGGAGCCACTAAGCTACCAGCAGATAAAGCCATTCTTACAAAAGAAATATTAAATGAGATTCACCCTAACATTTCAGGCTAAAAGCATTTCAAAATGCTTTTAATAAAAAATGCCTTTCCCAAAATGACTTTGTGACTATGGTTCTGCTTTGATGAGAAAATTAAAACGAAGCTTTTCAATTTTGTCTTGTATTGCAAAGCTGACTCTCCTATCTCAAAATGCTTTTATGGAACCTCAGCTCTTAATGAGGGCACAGCAAGCTGCACAGCATGTCTTCTGAAATGCTTAATTTATATTTTTTAATTATTCTGATAAGGCACAATTGTAAAATGACAACACATAGCCATTTCCATTTCATATGTCAAATTACTACATTTTTTAAAAGGCAAGTGTCTTGTATTCAACCCTGCATGCACTGATACGTAAAAGAAAGACCCAAATCATCAAGGCCCAGGTTGCTCCATCTGCACCCAAGGTCTTTGCAAGAAAACCAAGTTCCCCACCCCCTTTTTCCTTTTGTTTTCTGCAAAACCCTCTAGGTGGCCTACCCTGAACTCCACGACCACAGCATGCAGTGAAGCAGCCTGGGGCATCACCACAGCGCCAGGCCCCAGGTGCTGGTCCACAGCAGTCCGGACATACCAGAAGTACAGGTTGTGCCATGGCAGCAGGCTGGTGGTGAAGAACGGCTCACCCAGGAGGACAGAGACCTGGTGACCAGAGCAAAAAGCAGGACCCAGGCGTCAGAAGGGTTCAGCTGAAGAGTTAAGGACAAGTCACAAGTTTCACAGGAACACGGAAGTAACAGGCCATTCATTCATTCACTCATTCTGTGAAAAAACAAGCATGTCACATCCAAATCTGCCCCTGAAGACACAAATGTGAGAAACACCTGCCCTCAGGAATGCAGGGTGAAAGAAGGAAGCAGACAATAGTGAGCTGTCCTCATGTGACAGACAGAAGCAAGGAGGGGTGCATGGAGGGACCCCGGAGGTAAGCCCACCAGAAAGGGCTTCCAGAATGGCATCCTGTCAATCCCCACTCAAAGTTTTATCATCACAACTTACCAGTGCGTGTCTAACTCTGTCTCCCACACTAGGCTCTGAGCATGACAAAAATGTGGACACTGGCAGCACAGTACCCCAAGCAAAGTACCTGGCCCAGAGCAGATGTTCAGTAAATATTTGCTGAGTAAATGAATAAATGCTTGACTCAGAGTCAGAAAAGCCTAGGAGTGGAAAGAGGTGTTCCAGGCAGAGGCACAGGCTCAGGCAGGGCAGGGGCAGAGGCAAGCATGTGTGTGAGAGCAAGTCTGTTGCAGGAGCATGCTCTGCAAGTGTGCAGAAGGTGGCATGGGAAAGCGGGAGGCCAGACCACCCAAAGGCAGCAGATGATAGAGTAAGGGGGCTGGCCTCTCCCTGGAGGAAAGAAGTGATCATGAAAAGCTTTAATCAGGGATACAAAATAAGAAATGTGTTTTAAAAGATCCCTCTGAAGTATGTGGGGAGAACACTTGCAGGTAGAGCTGGGGATAGAAGGTGACTTAGGCAAGTGCTGTAACAGCACAAGCAAGGAGGGGGACTGTGCAGAAAGGGAGGAGAGGAGGACGTGTGGAGTCTGAGGGGTCAGACTGCCCCGGGCTTCGGCCCAATCAGATGGGCATCTGAGAGGGGCTAGTCAGAGATGGCAGAGACACAGTAGGAAATTCCGCAAGACTGAAAAGGTTTGGCCCTGAGCACTTCCCCAGTCCCTTGCATCTCCCCACATCGGGGACAAGGCCAGAATGCCTGCTCCCACCACTTCTATTGAACAGTGACCTGGTGTCTAGCCAGTGCATCATATTAATGGCTTAGAGAATTTAATTTTCTTCTAAACCCTCATCTATGAGGGGGGAAAAAAGGGCAACATGTACATGAATGTTCTGAGCAGCACTGTTCACAATAGCCAAAGAGTAGAAACAACCCAAATGACCACCAACTGATAAATGGATAAATAAAATTTGGTATATCCATACACCACATGGAATATTATTCAGCAATAAAAAAAAGAAGTACTGATTTATGCTACAACATTGATGAAAACAATACGCTAGGTGAAAGACGTCAGTCACCAAGGACCAGGTATTGTACGATTCCATTTACATGAAATGTCCAGAACTGGCAAATCTATAGAGATAGAAATAGTGGTTTCCAGGGCTAGGAGGACTGGGGGCAATAGGGTATGATTGTTAATAGGTATGAGGGTTTCTTTTAGTAATAAAAATATTCTAAAATTGATCTGGTGATGGCAGCACAACCTTGTGAATACACTAAAATCACTGAACTGTATACTTAAAATGAGTAAATTGTACAGTATGTGTATTATATCTCAGAAAAGCTGTTATTTAAAAAAAGGCATGGGGGGAAATGCGCAAAAGACTTGAATATACCTTTCAGCAAACAAGACATAGGAATAGCTAAGAAGCACATGAGAAGGTGGCCAACATCATTAGTCATCAGGCAAATACAAATTAAAACTACGATGAGATATCACTGTATACCCACTAAAATGACTGTACTGAAAAGGAAATAACACTAAGTAGTGGGGAGGATACCAAGAAACTGGAACCCTCATATATTACTGATGGGGTGTACAACATTTCAGCAGTTTTTTTTCTTGTTTGCTGGCCAGTACAGGTATCGACCTCTGGATCTTGATGTTATCAGCACCATGCTCTAACCAACTTAGCTAACCAGCCAGCCTCAGTTTAGCAATTTCTTAAAAAGTTAAACATAACTATCATTCAACCCAGCAATTCCATGCTTAGGCATCTGCCTATGAGAACTGAAAATATACATCTTCACAAAGATTCATTATACACCAATGTTCATAGAAGCATTATGCAGAATAGCTAAAAATAAAAAACGAGAAATAATCAAAATGTCCATCAACAGAGAAACAGATAAACAAAATATGGCATATCCACACAATGGAACGCTATTCAGCATTAAACAGGAACAAAATACTGACACATGCTACAACATGGATAAACCTCAAAGTAATTACAATCAAAGAAGTCTGACGCAAATGACCACATATTGCATTATTTCACTTGTGTAAAATGCCCAGAAAAGGCAAACATAGAGATAGAAACCAGGTCAGTGGTTCCCTGGGTCTAGGAGATGGGTGTGCTGATTAACTACCAACAGGTTCCAGGAAATTTGGGAGGTAACAGAAATGTTCTAAAACCAGACTGGGTGAAAGCTGTAGAACTCTATATATTTACTAAAAATCACTGAATTGCACACTCGAGACAGGTTGGTATGTCAATAAAGCTGTTATTTTTAAAAAAGCTTAGCAGGAAAGATGAAAGATGAAAGATGCTTTGGATGAGTCCAACTTGAAGGGCATGTGCAATATTCAATGAAAGGTAACGGGTTGGCAGTTGGACATAAGAGATCTGAATCTGAAAAGGTAAAGAGGTCTACCTATAGTGAAGACCACCTCTGATGGTCACTGATTGACATATACGAAGAAAAGAGATTACTCAAGAGGAGATGCAGCAGGAGGGGAGAGGAGGGACAAGGGGACAGTGCCAAGGAACATCACCAGGGAAGGATCAAGCAAAGGGAAAGACAACCATGAAGGAGACTGAGAAGGTGCAGCCAGAAAGGTAAGAAGAAAGAAGACTTGGGAAAAGCAGTCTCTCAAGAACAGAGAGGTCCACCGGTCACAAGTGCCTAAGAGATTGGGGCAGACAAAGCCTGCAAGGTGAAGATGCTTAGTAACTATGGTTAACCCTGGGAGAAGCAGTTTTGGGGGTCAAGACCAACTGCAGCAGGAAGAAGGGAATGGAAGGTAAAGTGAAGACAGGAGGGCCATGAAGGGGAAAAGGGAAAGGGGACACACTATGCTCTTGTTAATCCCAACTGAGCTGTTCTGTCTTCATCTGAGGGAGCAGAGACGAGCCCGGGGTGAGAACAGCGCGATTACTTGCTCATCAGGCATCTCTAGGAATGCCTCACCACATCCCTAACAGCGGTGAGTTCCCAGCTGTTACGTTCCATGGGGGACTCACCAGGACGCCCAGAAGACAGGCTAGAGTGCGGGCTATTTCAATGCTGTGCTGTTCCCTCTAACATGGCCCCAGGGTGACTGCAAGGTTCCTACTACTCACCTTTTTACCCTCCAAGTCTGCAGATGTTAATAATTCAGGCCGTTTCTCTATGATATTAATTTTATCTTCCAAGTGGTTAGCCTTGAAGATCTTAGAAAGAAACAATACAATTGCTTTATTCATACTAAAGTATTTTTGTTCCAGGAAAAAAACCTCTCAAAGTTGCTTTATCTGCTTTGAGTTTTCTGGCCAAATAGTTCTGGAGCACCACTTTTATCTGCTTTGTGGAAATTCTCCCCTTGAGGGGCATCTTATAGACCAAGGATGAGATTATGAGAAAAGTGTTATAACAGCAAAAGAAATTCCTCTTGCAGGCACATAGCAGGACTTATCACCAGGCTTGTAGTTCTGGTGGAGGTGGGTTACCTTTCAGAGATGAAATCAAAACAACCACTGGCCAGGGAGAGAAATACCATCTTCAGTCAGGCTGTGAGCAGTGACTCCCTGGGCTCTGTTGTCCCAGAAACAAATCATACACGTTCACTTCTACCACTGCAGAGATTTTTTTTCTTAGTTTTATGTGAAGTAAGGAGAAAAGCCTAAACTTCTTCAAAGACAAAAAACAAAGCAGAGTCCAAACATTTGTTCCTATTTCACTGATGGCCCTAGATGACTTCCAAGCCAGCTCTCCAGGCAGGAGCCCAGACAACAAAGGAGAGCTCTCAACAGCAGCTGCTGCTACTCCCTGTTCCCAGTACAGAGGCTGCTTCAAACTGATCAATCCCAGACTCAAAAAGGAAGGTCCCACAGGTCCCCTCATTATTTCAGTAATAGCAATTATTACTTACCTTTTTCATCAGTTTATGAGAAGCTGCTGAACTCTCAATTGTAAATACCTAAAGAGAATACTATGCATTAGATATAAGAGACTCATTTAACAGAGGAAGAAATTAAAGATTAAAATGTAACAAGATCATTCCAAGGCAGAGGACACCACCTAAATGACTCTGCCTGTGCTCAACACCTACCTGGGACAGCACCTACATTCTGCACTGACCCTAGCCACATGGCAGACTCAGAAACCTGAGCCACAGCTACATGGCAGTAGCTATTTCCTGACTCCTGCCTGCACATGCAGGCAATAAAATACTTGAGCCCTAAACCAAGCATGCTGCTATATGTGACAGCTGTGCTAGCAAAAGCTTCAATTGCAGATTTGTGTGCCTGGACCACACAATGCCCTGACTCAAGAGCCAACCTTAAAAAATAAAAAATAAATGAAAAAAGAGCCAGGCTCAGGAAGCTGACAGAAAGGCGCATGCCCAGTACCTGCTCTGCCCCAAGGTGATGCGCCAGCATGGAGAGCAGACTGCCATCACTGACACACAGGCAGACACTGTCCGACTTCAGCACCTGCAGGGGAACAGTGACCTCAGCACAGGTGTTCCTGCAGTCTGTCAGGAGAGTTGGCAAACTCACAAAAAGGCTTTCTTTCTCTTCACCCCACTCACTCAGACTCTGATCACATCCTCATTCCATCCTGCTCCCCCCACACCAGTCATGCCTGCCTCCCATGCCCATGCAGCACCCAGCTCCCACCCTCACACACACCCACCTCATGTACCTCTCCCCAATAGCCCCCACCATCAAGAAGAACCCTCCTAACCCAGCCTACAAGGTCTGGCTGAAGGCCTGCCCCACTTACAGGAGAACACCTCCCAGTCCACAACAGGTTTCCTCTCTGTGTGGTGAAAGCACACACAGCCTGAGTCTATCACTCAAGGCTCATGTGTTCTCAAGTGACTCCCCAAAGGCAGAGATGCCTTTACAGATCATAAATGCCTCTATGAGAAACTTTGGACAGCTTGGATCCTTTGTCCCCCACAAAATGCATGCATGTGCTCACATATTTCTGTACATTAATTCTGAGGGGTCCAAGAGACCCCCCTCCAAACCCTGTCTGTGGTCCCCAGGCTGACAGTCCCTTGCTATAGGAGGCAGGGAGCAAACGTTTTCAGGCAGGAGAATTACACGATCAGATTTACATTGCAGAAAAGTTTAGAAAGGTGGCAACAGATGAAAAGAAGAGAGGCACAGCTGAGTCCACTGGGATCACCCACACCAACTTCTGGTGATCTCAAAGGCACAGGCGTCCAGCTGGACAAATGAGGGGCTGAGGGAAGGCTCCCAGCCGTAGGCTCCCACAGGCTAGCAGAGAACACATCCTTCAGTAAGCCCAGTACCAAGCTCTAGTGCCCACCCCAGCAGGAATAAGGAAACACTTAGAAAACAATATCAGCAAATCATAAGCAGCATTCTAGAGCCCATGGGACAAACTCCTTGCCCACAACCACCTAAGGGACTGGACACTTACGGTCCTCAGGGCATGAACATACTGATCAGTTCTATCCTGATCATTGATCTCTCCAAACCGAGGCCGGTTCCAGAGCAGGTGAGCCTGGCAGTCACACACGGGGCGCATTTGGTGGACTCTCCCGTTCTTTTCAGGGCTAGGCCAGGAGATGGAAAAACAGATGCTGGTGAGGAGCATGACATGCTGGATATCAGACAGCATGGCACAGGGACCTGCCCAGCAGAACTTGACAAGGGCCCTAGGGACACATCCACAGGTCTCTAGAAGGCATGTGTCTGGACACTGGCTCTTTAGTAGGTGTTAGAGGTTAGCGGTCCCTCTCAAGACTTATCATATATGTCTGTTTTAAATGTAGTCCAGCAACCCATGACAGCCTCCTCTAAGTACACACAAATGGGCACTGACACATCCAGCCACAAACCTTTGTTCTTATTTTATTCTGTTCAGATACAAATCTGCTCGCTCATGCCTCTACAGGGTCTGTAAATGGGGGATTTACACAAATGCAGTCTCAAAGGTCCAGCACTCTATCCCACAACGCTGGGCATACCTAGTCCTCTGAAGGCTGTACCACACACAGTAGTCGTCATGGTGGGCTACCAGCCAGAAGGCTGAGCCCTGTACAATTGGCTCCTCTTGTGGCAGAAAGTACACACACTGCATCCAGTGGTCCCGCCACTGAAATAGGGAACAGAGAGTCAGCTGTCACCAAGCTGCAACAAGAGCAATGCTGTTTCTAATCCAGGAGCCAAAAGGCAAGCCAATATCAGTTTTCAGGGAGACCACGATGTGGACTATAGTTGGCTACTGGGGCCAAAGAAAAACATTTTTTTTTAAAGTAAAAAAAAATGTTTTTTACTTGAACATGTTTCAAGTAAAATGGCCAGTAGCTCAAAATCTTCCTGGAACCCTGCTAGCTTTAGGAAGGCACAATGTGGCCAAAGGCAGGAATCTTCCAGAGTGGCTCAGGGGAGGGGACAAGTGCAGACCCCAGCCTCCACCCCATCAGAGCAGCACCAATGCTCTTCCTTCAACATGGTGGGCTGTGCTTAATGTTGCACTGGAAGGAAAAATTCCCTGGCTTAAAACAAAGGTTTTAACCTAGTAGTCTGGAGGGTACCCATTCTGAATAGTACCATGGCACATATTCCAAAGGCTTTAACATACACTAAAAGGTCAAACACAATGCATAAAACCTAACTGGATCCTGGGTTGAAGAAAACAAAAGCTTGTTAAAGATATTTGGAGATAATTAAGGAAATTTTATTTTGAACCATATCTTAGATGATATTATGGAATTACTGCTAATTTTCTTAGGTATGATAATGGTATTTTGCTTACGTGGAGATTGTTTTTATTCTTAGGAGATATATGTTAAGGTATTTAAGAGTGAAATGTCAGATGTCTAAAACTTACTTTCAAATGATTTAGCAAAAAACTGTATGTGTATGTAGAGAGACGAAGGAGGGAGGCAGAAAGGGATGAGGAGGGAGAGACCAAATGGGGCAAATGCTAACAGCTAGTAAATCTAAGTAAAGGGACTACCAGTGCTCACTTTCACCTATTCTGTGCATTTATAATTTTTCAAAATAAAAAGTTGAGAAAATAGTACAGAAACGTTTTGTTTGGTTTACTCCTTTGAATTAAACAGAGTTTTTAAGGAACTGGCATACTCTAAATTGTAAAACACGGCTTATTTTACAACGATTCAGTCAACCTTTAATAAGCTGTGTTGATCCTTACTATAAACCCCACATATAGGATTCTATCCTAAAAAGAACCAAATAAAAAAAAAGAAAAAAGAAAAAAAACCTATATTCACATTAATATGCATATCACAGAATTATTTATACTAGCAAAAACTGGAACTAACCCAAATGTCCACTAGCTCAGAAACGGATATGTAAATCCTTATGCAGAATACTTGCAGAAATTTAAAATGATGAATATAAAGACTGGTACAGCATGAAAAAAACAGAAATAAGCACTGACAAAAACCCACACGTTTAGAAAGAGACCAAAGAAAGATAGTTATTTCAGATGATAGGACCACAAGTGATTTTTAAATTTAATTTTGTTTCATATAATGGGGTTTATTACTCTTATAATCCTTGAGCTTCTTTTTTAAAAAGAAAGAACCATCCTAAAAAGTGGACACCTGGCTCAACTCTGATGAGATGACCACCCACTCATTCTCTGTCATTTTCAGGAATGAAGGAAAACTTGAGCCCACTGAGATTGGGAAAGCATGGCTTAGAGCTTAGCATGTAAGCAAAGGAAGCCCAGGGCCAGTTTCACGTCTTAGGAACACATCCCACCCCACCTTGTCTTAAATTTAACAAAAAGGCAGGTGAACGACATCCTCACCTATCTGTCTGTTTGAATGTAAGAGCTAGAAAATGAAAATCCAAACAGATACGTTCTGGAAAAATAAATAGTTAACAAGGAGGAAAGAAGAGGTTCTCTTAAGCCTGTTAGTCATTCCCATACTGTGCAAAGTTATCTGAAGACAGGAGGAGACTTCCCTGAGCCATCCTGTGCTCCCATGGTATTTCCCTGTCATCATGTTCTTCTCACAATCCCTACCACAAGGAACCTTCCGGGTCCTAATGCTAAACAGCTGGTAACAGAAACCACTGTCCCCAGGTGAAACAGGCTAAATATATTTAACATCAAAGCAGTTTCATGAATTCATGAGGGAGATTTATTAGAAGCTTTCAAATTCTTTTTTTTTTTTTTTTTTTTTAAGATAACCAGTAAGGGGATCTTAACCCTTGACTTGGTGTTGTCAGCACCACGCTCAGCCAGTGAGCCAACCGACCATCCCTATATGGGATCTGAACCCGGGGCCTTGGTGTTACCAGCACCACTCTCTCCCGAGTGAGCCACGGGCCGGCCCAGAAGCTTTCAAATTCTTTTTTTTTTAAAAGATGGCCGGTAAGGGGATCTTAACCCTTGACTTGGTGTTGTCAGCACCATGCTCAGCCAGTGAGCAAACCGGCCATCCCTATGTGGGATCCGAACCCGGGGCCTTGGTGTTATCAGCACCGCACTCTCCCGAGTGAGCCACGGGCCGGACCGAAGCTTTCAAATTCTTAACAGTCCAAAAGTCACTGCTGGGGGGCCGGCCCCGTGGCGCACTGGATAAGTGCGCCGCTTGGGAAGCGCCACGGCGCTCCTGCCCGAGGGTTCGGATCCCACATACAGACCAGTTCCCGCTCACTGGCTGAGCGAGGCACGGGAGCAACACCGAGGGTTGCGATCCCGTTGCTGGTCCCCGGTCCGGTACGGGGGCAACACTGAGGGTTGCAATCCGTTGCCGGACACGCAAAAAGACAAAAGACAAAAAAAAAGTCACTGCTGGTAGAGAAAGGACACAAGACCTACAGTCAGAAGACCTGGGGACGAAACAGACTCTTCTGTTTCTTGGACATGAGGCCCTGCTCCAATACCTTGAGCTTGCCGGTATGAGTCTGGGTATTGCTGTAGTTACCCAGTATGTCTTGTATGACGATTCCAGGAGAAAACACAGTGTGCTTTGAAGATATGCAAATAAAAAGTATTAACATTTTTACGGTATTCTTATGCTAATTTTGCAGCCATGACACTCCCGGAGAAGAGAGCAGCCCAGTGCCAATCTCAATTCTGTGAGTGAACTCTCTCTCACACACACCCACGGGCACACACACCTATGCACACTTAGCCTGCAGAGGGAAGCTGGCACATACTGGCTGGATGCATGCTCACCTGGGGCCAGGCAACTGGAAGACAGAGTACAGACCAAGGAGCTCACAGCCCCAGGCTGACTGACAGTAATCCCATAGCTGACCCTTTGCCCTATGCAGTAACTCAGGAAAAGGTGTAGGGGGAGCTGTGTACACCCAGAACCAGCTGGTGAGCAATCAAAACAAAAGCCAGCAGGTCGGCCTGTGGCTCACTTGGGAGAGTGCAGTGCTGATAACACCAAGGCCACGGGTTTGGATCCCATATAGGGATGGCAGGTTTGCTCACTGGGTGAGCGTGGTGCTGACAACACCAAGCCAAGGGTTAAGATCCCCTTACCAGTCATCTTTTAAAAAAAACAAAAGCCAGTGGTAACACCAGGCTGGCTGATGATAGAACACACAAAGAATGGTGCCGAAGACACTCACGGTGGAGAGAGAAGTTTTTATTCCTCAGGCCTGAAACAGCTTTCCCACTTTTTCTTCCCTTTTGGGGTGCAGAGAGGGGATGCGTGCAGGAGTAAATAATACATGCACATAAGAGAAAATTCAAAAGATATAAGTACATATAACGGATGTTCCGACGATTCATTTTCCTGTTCTTTCCCCAAGCTTCACCAACACCATGTGCTACCAAACTTTTGAACGTTTTTCACTACAGGTGAAAATGGTATCTCATTGCAGTTTGAAGCTGCATTTCTCTCATGAGTGAGGGTGAGCAACTGATCACATGTTAAACAGTAATCTCTATTTTATTTTCTGTAGTACATGTTTTCTGCCCACTTTCTACTGAGCTGGGGAAGACAGATTTTGAGGCCACAGAAAGTGAGGCTGTAGTTCTCTATGCCAAACTGATCCGAACCTCCCGGAATTACTGGGAGGGGCGAGAATCTAAGACTGGCTGTGCCAGGATGAGAGGAGGAGAGCTAACTCACTAAAGCTTCTCTGTTGAACTCACCCTGAGAGGTCTGTCTACTTTACTACAGCTAGCCTTTGCTTTTTTTTTTTTAAACACTTCCTTGCCTTTGATTCTGACATAATCCCTCCTGTTTCTAAATGCTTGTGAATCTAAGGCTCAAAGTGTTACTTTCACATGAACAAAAGCAAAAGACAAGTTTCCTAATTTACATGAAAATGAGCTCAGCTCCTGCCTCTTACCTGGAGCTCTTCTGGGTTTGAGTGTGCCCAGAAGGGGGCCATGGTGCACTTGATCTTCCCCTCAGGGTCCATTTCAATGTCCCACCAGGAGAGAACTACCTGAGCTCGGCCAGATGCCAGAGGTTCAAACTGCCTGCTATGGCAAGCTGCTGAACTACTGACTTGCTTGCTGAAGTCCACACTGTGGAAGAATATACAGGAACTTAAGCACATTTTAACCTCACACACTCCATTTTTAAGTTTTTACAGTGACCTCACCAGCAATGATACTTGGTTGCAAAGAACTCTTGCCTTCAGAGGCAGGTACCATAAACTAGGTTTCCTTCCCACTCTTCCAAAGACCCAAATTCCATCAAATGTCTCAAAGTGCCGTCACCTGGGGTAGCTCCTTGGTACCTGAACATAGGCAACACATCGCTGAGGACGGTGAAGTCGGTCGGTGACACCTGGTTCAGCTGAATGTCACAGACAGAGGGTGCACCAGGGCACCTCTCCAGTTCCAAGGGAGGGACAATAACCTGCTCTCCGATGCCCGTCTGAACACGGATGGGAAACAGCTTGTTCCATGACCACATTCTTCTGGACTCCACCAGCTGTGCATAGATGGTTGCTCTGTGAGGCACTGCCTCACAATTTTCCTAAGTTTATATTAAAAAACAAAAGAACAAGAATAAAACAGGTTCACTGACCCACAGGAATTCCCATTGATCAAAAGAAATTTATTCCTTAATACTGGGCCAGTTTAATAACATCTACAGACTTATCACTGTTAGCACAGTAAATTGTTTTCAGCACTATGCTCCTGGGAGAGGAAAAAAAAGGGAACTAGATTTTAAAAAGATACACATTATGCCTAAAATGATTTATGTCACATAACTTCCTAGTTCCCTGGCACTCTTAAATACTTCAAAAATAAAACTGTCACCATGCTCATGAACTCCCATACTGACTTCGAAGAAAGTGTCCAAGTCTTACTGTTAAGCGGTAATTCTGGCCCCAGGCTCAGAGCGTCCCTGCAGTGCAGCTCTTGCTTGGTCACTGGAACCAGAAACTCCTCATTGAAAAGCCCAATGGACAATTGTCCACCCTCAACTGCTTGGTGTCATCTGGCACTGCTGACTACTCTTCTCACTTAGCTGTGGTTCTCACTCCCTGACTGGTTTTCCTCCTGTCTCATTTATTCATTCCACATCCTCTCTACACACCAGGCACTAGTGACTCAGCAGTGAAGAGGACACTCGCAGTTGCCACTCACATGAAAATTACAAGCACAGGGTTTCTCTACCTCAGCACAACTGGCCTCTTGGGCCAGATGATTCTTTAATGTGAGCGCTGTTCTGTGCCTTGTAGGATGTTTAGCAGCATCCCGGGCCTCCCCCACCTCTCAGTTGTGACACCACAAATGTCTCCAGACCCTGCTCTGGTGGAGAAGCACTACTCTAGCAGGACTCTCACCACCCACATCTCCTCCACAAGGCTGTGCTGCTTCCTCTGTCCACCCTCACGAGGAACTCCCGGAGACCTGGTCTGGACCACCTTCTTTTTCCCTCCAGTCTCCTGAGTGACCTCAAACACTCCATCTTCATTTACCAAATCCATGCATCTAATGGCTTCTTGGTCCTCTCTACTTGGCTGACCCTCAGATACCTCAAACTCTTATGTCTAAACTGAACAAATCACCTTCAGTCCTCCCCTACCTTCCCAGGGCTACGCTTCCTCCTGCGCTCCCAATCAATAGGGAGCACAGCATCTAATCCAGTTGCCCAAGTCCCATATCCTGGCATCACCCACAATGCCCCCACATCTAAGTAACCACAAAGTCCTGTGACTACATGTCAGGCCCACATCTGTGGCCTTGGCCAAGGCCCACCTCATCCCTGTGCCTGGCTGACTCCCAAGGCCTTTGCCTCCACTCTTGCTCCCCAACTGCTCTCCACGTGCCTGCCTGCATAAATCTGCCAACAATCCCCTGCTTCAATCCTTCCCTCGACACCACCCTGCCTTTTGGATGACAGCTGCCCTCTGGGCATGGCCTCCTAGGCCCTCCTCCATCTAGCTCCTGCCTAGCTCTTGAGCCTCATCTCTGACCCCACCTCTCACACCTTGTTGCTTTGTCCCCCACAGATCTGTCACCCCACTTTCCCTGAGTGATGGAGCTGCAAAGGATTACTCAAAGCCCATCTCTTCTAAGCAGTGAGAAGCCCCGAAGTGGTTAACTTCCCCGGAACCCTCAAGCAAGAGGCACCCCTTCCTTGGGAAATTAACCCCGAATTGGGGTTCTCTTCCTGCATTTATTTTCCAGACCAGGAAGTTACAGGAAGAGAACATAGGTGGGGTTATAGTTTAACAATATAGGCTGGTAACTTTCAGTGAAACAAGCCAGATGTCATTCCATTAGAATGTCCACCAACAAAAGCTTGATCTTAGCAAACATTCCTTCTCCCTCCAGCAATTTTCCAGTATCTTTACACATCAATCAGTAACTAGTCTGTCTTTGAGCCAGCAACCTTACTGTGTTAGAATTCTTTATCTTACACCAGAGACTTTATAACCTGAGGAAATTTTCCAGTCCTCCACAAGGTCAATATTTGAAACTGCAAGGCGTTGGAAAACCAGGCCCTGTGAAGTACATTTGCTTTAAAAATCCTCTACAACAATTCCCACATTACACAAAACCTAAACAACTTGCATGGTCTGGGAGCTACCACAATGATTCATCTTCGTGTCTTATGCATGCTGTTCTCCTCTACTGGGAACACCCCCATCTACCAGGCCAACACTTGACAACTTTTCAAGACTGACTCAGCTCAAGCATAATCTTCCTTCACCCTACCACACACAACTGGTGTAGCAGGATCTCACCTGCACTGAGCATCTTCAGAGCATATCTCACACTGCACTGTGATGTCCTGCTCAGCACCTGTCTCCCCACGAGCTCACCTTCATCTTCTTGGTACCCAAAAAGAGGCCTGGCAAAATGAAGACACTTAATAAATGTATCTTCTGAGATCAATTCCTGGAGCATTTCAACAACAGCATCCTAGTTCCATAACTTCCCATAATGCAGGAAGAGGGGCAAGACAACAGAACCCTCTGTGTATCAGCCGTAACTTTTCCAGGCTCAGAGGCAGGGTAGGCAGATGGTGACAGCGATTAGAGTGGACAGTGGACACCAAGCCAGCTGAGAGAGGAAACTGCCTGCACACCTTTTTAATAAGATGAGTTAGAGAAAGACAAATTGGGCGACAGCATAATTCTAAATGCTCTTAGTCTCTGTTTTAGGAATTCCTCTAGTTGGCAGTTTTAATGTGGACAAACAGAAATTCTTACTACTGACATTGATTACCAGAAAAGGATTTTATACTTTTTGAGACAAGGAGACATCTTACACAGTATATGGTTCTGGAGGACAATAACCATTAAAAGTGGACCATGTGAGCAATGTGAACTCTGGCCCAGAATGACCTGGAAGGAGTCCCTCTCTTTCACTCTAAGGGGCACCAAGGACCCCCAAAGAGGGTCTAGTTGCAGGCTCATCTGGACTGTGTCCACCAGGAGTATGCCAATAGAGGAAGGGGCAGACACTCTTGCCTCTCCAGCTGGTCTTTGCCTCTGGGTCTCCTCCTCCAGTTTATGTCCATAAAAAAAGCAAGACCAGTGTCTGGAGATGGCATTTTCAGCACATCTCTTCTTTCTCAAAAGAATGTTCAAAGACTGTCACCACTCCTTCACCTAAAATGGTCTGGCACTCAAGGCCTTCTACCCTCTACTCCAGCCTCCACCATCAGCCCACAAAGCATCCAGGCTGGTGTTCTCACAGACCTATCAAACAGGTCCTCTACCTGGAACACCTCTCTCACCTCAGTGCCTTTCTAAATTCTACCCTCTCCACACGCAGCCTCATCTCCTTCCTGATGCCAGACCTATTCTGCCAGTCCCAAACCAGATGTCTGTGGTACTCCCCCCTAATCATTCAGCGGTCCACTCCTTACCACTGCTGACTACCATGGGTCTTAGCAGCAAGAATGATGTCTTTTCCTTCTCCCTGGATGCTAGCACACCTTACACACAGTAGACACTAAAAGAATATTTGCTGAATTAAATTGAATTTGAGGTTGGTTTCTGGCCTCTTGACTCTAAACTACCAAGATCTGGCATTCAAGAGACACAGGAGTCACAACTGAGGAAAACCAGAGAACTGGGAATTGAGGGGTATACCAAGGTATATGGAGAGGTACTGAGGGCTCAGGCTGTCTTGAGCCATAGCACATCAATGAGAGCTGTGTAACCCGGCTGAGGTCACAGCAAACACACCTAAGGGCAGTCTTCAGTCCACTACCTGTACAAGATGCTTGTGTGCATGCTCATAGGAAGGCAGCGCTCCCTCCCCGATCAGTTCTGTGTCAAACAGCTCTGTGACCAGGATGTTGGCACGGCATGGCATGTCACCATCTGAGAAACATAAGGAAACAAATCAGAAGCAAGCAACAGGCTAGGAAAAGTATTGAGGTCAACAGGTCACTACACTGAAAGCACATACAGGGGCTGGTTGGTTAGCTCAGTTGGTTACAGCACGGTGTTATAATACCAAGGTCAAGGATTTGGATCTCCTTACCAGCCAGCAGCCGAAAAAAAAGTACATATTATACTGCAACATTTAGAAGTATCATGATGTCTGCAACTGACTTCAGCAAAAAAAAATCCATAAATATATGGGTGGCAAAATGCTAACAACTGGCAGTTCACTGTACTACTCTTTCAACTTTTATGTATGTTTAACATTGGTGGAGAAGGAGCAGAGCTGGGAAAAAATGATAAGAAAACTATAGACACCCCAAAAGAAAAACACTTAAAAATACAAATAGACAATTCAAAACAGAAATCAAATACACAAAAATCTCTTCATCCTTATTAGCAATTGGAGAGATACAAATTAACAAACTATCAGTGATTAAATTAGCAAAAATTATTTGAAAAGCAATAAAAAGAACGCTGGTACTTCACATACTTGTAGGCTGCAGAGAGAGGAAGGGAAAACCAAAGCAAGAGAGAGAGAGAGGCAGTTTATGACCTTTCAGTTACCATGAGTTCAGCTATACCTGCCAAAAGTGTGATCCATGATTCAGAATCCCTGGATTCCTCATAGTAAATCCCCTTAATTAAGTCAGTGTCTTCCACCAAACAATCTCACAAATAACAGTTGTTTTAAGATAGCAGGATTTTGGATGGTTCTTTTGTTAACTCTGTTTTCTAAGCCTCTGTAATGTGCTGTTACATCTACAATTGTAATTTGTAATGAGCCAAGAGACAAAATAGACTTTGGAAGGGGCTATTCATCAAGGAAAATTAACTGTAAACACTTCTAATGGCTCATAAATTACAATCTGACAATGCCCACTCACCCATCCTCCCTGCACAGAGGACAATTTTCACAGATGATGCAAGAAAAGAGGAGCGTTAAAGTGGTTCAAAGAAGGGTGTAGTAGAGAGAACTTGCACCTTGAGTCCTAGAGGTCTGGGTCTGCGTTCCACTTTCTAGCCCTAAGCCTTCGGTTTTGACTATCAGTTGTCTCATCAGTAAATTGGAGGTAATGAGCTCTGGCTCATATGGTGGTGGTTAGGATAATAAAGGTCAATAATGTACACTGCCTATGAAGTACCCGTGTGCTCAATGGCAGGATGAAGTAATAAAGTTAAGAAGAGACTTCCACCTCCTGGCACAGAAACCACCCTCCCAAGCGGCCCTGTCCATCACCTCTGATGTCAGGCCAAGCTCCAATAGGAATACACTGTCCAAAACTGTCCCCACTCCACTCCCTTCCCCACACAGCTGCTCCCCCTCCAGTGTTTCTGTCTCAATGAATGGCACACAGTCCAGAACACAGCATCACTTGCTAGCTCCAAGAGAGCAGAGACCCTGACTGGTCTGCTAGCTACTGTACCAAGTGCCTAGGACAACACCTAGCACCCAGGAATAGTCAACAAACATTAGCTGAATTCTTGATTCCTTCCTCTCTGTCACCCTACAGCTAGCCAATCAATCACCAAGCCTGGCCAATTTTACCTCCTGCATTATTTTTAAGCCAATTATATAACTTAAAATGATTTATTGTCCAAATCTGTCTCATCAAAATAAAAAGAGTTTTATGATCCAGTGAATTTTAACAAATACTTCTTGAGGACTTGGTATCTAGCACACAAGTATGAGGGTGTGGAGGGAGCCTGAAGAGGGGCAGTTACTCCAGGTGTTTCATAAATCTTTGCCAAATGAACAGAATGCAGAGATGAACAAATGCTGCTCTCGGAGTCGGCTGCTGTACGTGCCTCAGAGTGCGATTCATCTCCGGGGATGCCATTTCTAAAAAGAGCTACGAATAGAACCTTGGGAGTAGAAAGAAAGCAACGAAGGAAAACCAAGATTGGGAGATATCACTGAGGCCTGAGAAGAGAGAGTTGCAGGAAGGACTAAATGGCAGAAGTATCAAAGCTGCAGTGGTTTGAGAGAAAAAGCAGAGGAAAGACCACTTGACGTGGCAATGAGGAAGCCACTTGTCAAGGTAGGGGACTGGAAACAAAGTCTCATTTACAACCAAGGACCAAGCGAAGGTTGACAATCCAATCATTAAACTATTACTGAATTCATTTATGTGCCAGGCCCTATACAAACAATGGAATGAAATAATAACATGATGCTTCAGCTGTGGGGACATTAAATATATAATTATAGGAGGGGAGGGGAGGAGATGGAGAGGAACGGGTAAAGAGGAATGAAAATCAACTACAATGTATACTGAGAAGTAAAATAAAATAAAATATTTTTAAAAAAATAAAAATAAAAAATAAAATGGAGAAAGTATGTCTGATTTTTTTTCCCAGCTTTGGTCTCAAATTCATACCTCTTTAATTTAAAACAAATATATTCATTGTTTTGTTAAAACACGGACCTCCTCTGTGAAGAGTTTTTAATCATCTCTTAGAAAATGTTTATTTTGAAGCCTAATTTTGAAGTTAGGTTCTGTGGACTTCTTTCCTGTTTACTGTATTATTAAATGTCTTCCTTTTATTAAATGGAGGGAAAATAAATAAATAAATATATATATATAATTACATAATGATTTAATTATTACAGTAGTAAGTGCTACAAAGAAAATAATTAGAAAGTGTATGAGGAGCCTGGCCTGATCCAGGGTATATGAGAACAACACAGCTGAAAGGAGGGCACAAGGATGAGGGCACAGGACACAGAGTCAAAGCGAAAGTGCTACCCGGCAATGCCGCTCTGCATGTCAGTCTCCATGCTGTCAAGACAGATAAACTTCCCAAAATCAATAATTTCAGGGGCTGGCCAATTAGCTCAGTTGGTTAGAATGCAGTGTTATAACACCAAGGTCAAGGGTTCGGATCCCCATATAGGCCAGCCACCAAAAAATAAAAAATAAACAATCTCCACTCCATAATGGAATAAGTGGGATTAGACTTGTCCTCCCACTATCATCAACTAGAGAACTGGCCAAAATATAAGAAACTAGTGTTTTCAAATGTTGAACAAGAGGCAACACAGCTTGTTCTCCAAGAAGGGAAACAAACCAAGTGAACTCTACTTTGGCTTTCAGCCAGGAAAGACTTCTCAGCACAGGGGGTGAGAAGTCAAGCAGAGCACAGCAGTCTTGCTGAGTTTAGGGAAGTGAAGGTGGCTGGCACTTGCAGGGCAGAGAACCAGACCAAAGTTACACAGAAAAAGGGCTTCAGAACTCGGCACAGGGTTCCCCTTAAGTCTGTTGTTAAATGTATTCACATGGACATGGGGTAAGACGCTATAAGGCCAGGCAAAAGATGACGGTGCAATTATAAGCTGAACAATTTCCAGTGCTCTCAGAAGACTGGGAAATATTTAAGTTCTGATCAGACAGATTAGATTCTCCCTGCTAAGCACATAGGGCACTCAGTAGAAACCCCAGAAGGGTCAGGTAATAGTCTGGCTAAATTAAGTAGCCTTAAAGCACTGGTTATCAACAGATGGCTACTTTTCCCCATGCCCTCCCCCCAAGGGACATTTGGCAATGTCTTGAGACATTTTTGTTTGGTACGAATGGTGTGGAGGAAGGGGGAGGGGAGTGCTACTGGCTCTAGTGGGTGGAGGCCAGGGATGCTGCTCAACATCACACAATGTGCAGGAAAGCTTCCCACAACAAAGAATTACCATGCCCAAAATGTCAATGGTGCTGCTGTTGAGAAACCCCGACTTAAAGCTGCTCTAACCCTGCCCCAACAAAGCTTAAAAACAGGCATTGAAAGGATTAAACCAAACTGCAGTCACCCAACTGCATGTCAGACAATGTTTTGAAAGGAAGACAACAAAATCTAGCACTCAACGATAAAAAATTCCCAATATCCACAGCATCCAAATAAAAATTATAAATATGTGAAGGAGGAAAATGTGAATCAGAATGAGGATAAAAATTTGTCAATAGAATAAGCACAGAAAAGACAGAGATGGTAGAGACTGAAGATAAGGATGCAAGCCAGCTAAAATAAATCTTACACATTTAACATATGCTGTTGCACATAAACATAATGAGGAGAAAAATGCAAGTTTGTAAAAGAATCAAATGGAATTTTAAGAGATGAAAAATAAAATATCAGAAACGAAAAGTTCACTAGATATACTTTAACAGCAGATTAGATACTGCAAAAGAAAAGATCAGTGAATCTAAAGGCATATCCAAGAAACTATCCCTATCCATCAACAGGTGAAGGGATAAATACAGTACGGTACATAGATACAATGGAATGCTGCTCAACACCGAAAAAGAATGAACTCCTGAAACAGAACAACATGGATGAGTCTCAAAAGCATTATGCTATATAAAAGAAAGCAGACACAGGCTAGCTGGTTAGCTCAGCTGATTAGAGTGTGGTGCTGACAACACCAACGTCCAGGGTTTGATTCCTGTACCAGCCAGCTGCAAAAAAAAAAGTAAGTAGACACAAAAGAGTATATAGTTATGATTCCACTTATTTGAAATTCTAGAAAAAGCAAATCTAATCTATAGTGAAGAAGGTACATTGGTGGGTGCCTAGGGCCAGGGATATGAAGGGATTGATTGTAAAGGGTCCTGAGGGATCTTTTTGGGCATAATAGAGATATTCTATTATCCTAATTGTGATGGTGGTTACAAGTATGTTTGTACTTGTCAAAACTCATCAAACTTATCCACTTAAAATGGATACATTAATTTTATGTAAATCATACCTCAATAATGTTGATTAAAAATGGGAGAAGGATTGTGTATGTTTAAAAATAAAGGGGACACTATTCCCTTCCTTTGTACATGTTTCAGATTCTCCATCAAAATATTTTTTTTTAAGGGGAGAAAAATGTTGACCTTAGGTAGATGCCTCAATTCTAAAATACCGCATTTTCCAAAACTGTGGTGATATCTGTAAACTCACCACAGAAGTGGTTTTTTTGGGGGGCAAATTTTTCAACTGTGCTCTCAAAGTACCAATGGCACATAAAATTTTATATGTCTGAATCAACCTCGTGGACTATAAAAAAATACTCTGGAAACTTGAAGAGATTATGCTGTCCAGGAAAAACTCTCATGTTGTATGCTGAAGGATGTCAGAACTAAGTAAACCACTTTCTGCTATCTCAGTTTCAGAAACTTCTGTCTGACGAAACTTAGACAGTTGAGCCACACAAGAATTCCAGCTAGCTTAAAGTGAAACGTTTTGTTTGCATCACTGCTGTTATACTTGATTATCTCTGGCTTAATCATGGCTGATTTACTTTAACCAGTAGAAAAATAAACATCAAGAGAAGCAAATTGCTCATCATCAGAGCCACCATGGAGGGAATCCCCATTTCTCTGCAATGACCTGGAATAAATCCAGGTCGCTGGAATAAACCTTTTCCTTTCTCCTACAAGAGCAGGTAAAGCTTTCAACACAGGATGTGTAGATCTCACCTGGCCCTATGGTCACCTCAGTGGAATGCTTGTTGATAACCTTAATCTTATCACTGAAGCCATTTTTCTCCACAATCTTCACAGCAACATCAGCCATAGGCTTGAAAACCTAGAAATTAGAGTCAAAACCCAAGGAAAAATGAATAATAAATTAAATAATATCCTAATACCCCAGGATAGGAAGATATTCCTTAATTCTGGTCCTAAGACTTGTAACTTAAATACTTTATTCTCCAAATGTGTTTCATGAAAATGAATGTAAAAGGATGAGATTTCAGTTAGGTTTAACTTGGGATTAGAAGTTCCCATTACAAGCCAGGCACAGTGGTGATGCAGGGAACCCTGCAGAGGTCACACTACCTAGTAAGAACAGTAGGCATCAGTGCCACCCAAGAGAGATGCCAAAAAGCCAGGAAGGGGACTTGCCTCACAAACCTGGGACATGTGCTGTGCTCTCTACAAGAAAGTGAGACTGTTACTGCATTACTGTGTTCAGCTAGAAAAAAAAAATCTTCACAATCTATTTCAAATTATTTCTAGGATTTCTTTTTTTTTAGAAGTGGTTTAGGAGGTTTTTAGATGTGTTAAGAGGTCACCCTCCTGCTCAAAACTGTCCCAAATCCCCAGTGCTGGAGGAACACAGCCTACATTTCCTTATGGTATTCCAGTCCCTCCACAATACAGACCAACTTACCTTCCCAGCCTTACTCTCCCCATCCCACCTCACAATAAATGCTCCGGCCACACTGATCTCATTGTTCACTAGACAAGTCTGCGCCTTTCCTGTCCTGCCTCACTTGCCAAATCAAACCCAACTTCCCAGGGCAGCAAAAATTCTACCACCCCCACCCCCACAAGAAGTTTTCCTGTATCCCTAAACACAAGCTCCTGAAATTCCTAGTTTCCAGTCTACGCAGTTTGGATGCCACAGCTCCAACCACTAAAGTGCATAAAACATACAAACTCACATGGGGCCACATACACACAGCGGAAATCACAAAATGATAACATGAGTTCGTGATGACAAGATGTTCGTTTTTTCTAAATGCTTTTCTGTATTTTCCATGTTTTCTACCACGAACACATATATTTTACTATAATCAAGGGGAAATGCTATATTCTTTTATAAAGAATACATATGTGCTTGGCTAGAAAAAAAAATCTTCATAATCTATTTCAAATTATTTCTATGATTTGGCTTGATGTTTTTAGATGTGGCTTGAGGGCCTCAAGCCCTCAGTTCTCACCAATCACTTTGCCTCCACCTCTCAAAGCAGCAGTCTCAGTGCCATCTCCTCACTGCCGCTGCCTTCTGACCATTACTCATCTCCTCCCCTGAATGTTTAGGCTCTGACCATTCACAGCCACTGCCTCCTCAGCCCACCAAGAAGCTCAACATCTCACCCAAAACACTACCAGGAATGGACACTGAAGTTGACTTCCCAACATCCATTCTGTGTCCTGCCCTCCCCTCAATCAGGTAGTGTGGGGAACTGACCTCCTTTTGAGTGGTACACCTATCTGGCCTAAGGGTAACTGGATACCCTTGGCCAAGGACAAGGCAAGGAATGGAACTTAAGCCTATTCTGGCCAATGATACCCAAGGAGAAGTTTGCTAGAAATTCCTGGGAGAGTTCTTCTTGCTCTTAAAAAGGAGAAAGTGAGGAAGCTAGGGCCATGTTTTCCTGTCAGACATGTCCCTGATGGTTTTTAGCAGCCCTCTTACCACCAGTAATGGCGTCAGCCTTGGGAGGAACATGATATTTGAACAGCAGAACAGAAAGGGAGTGATTTGGGGTCTCAGACACCCTTAAGTTTATGAAGGAACCAACCCTGAAGCAAACACAAGCCAGTTTCAGGTGGTTTCAAGGCACTTGCTGCAGAAATCATTGTAACTGGTATGCCCTCCCCAACTGGCACTCTTTCCTTTCAAATGTACTAAAAGCAAATCTACAGTCATTGTCTGTAATGTTTAGTGTTCCATCTATTCCTCAATCATACTCTCTCCTGAAAGTATCGCCCAAAGGAGGTCACCAATGACCTAACTGCCAACCCATCAGCTTTCTCTGTCCTCATCCTGCTTAACTTTTACTCTTGCACTGTCCAATACGGTATTCACATGTAGCTATTTAAACATAAGTTGATTAAAGTTGAGTAAAATTAAAAACTCAGTTCCTTGAAATGCTAACCACATTTCAAGGGCTTGGTAACCACATGTGACTAGGGACCACTGTACCAGTCAGCACAGCTGTAGGAGATGTTCATCATCACAGACAGTTCTGTTGGACAGTGCTCCTCTGTACCAGCTACACCTGTTGACCACTCCCTTTTCCACGATTTCAGGCAGTCTGTCCACTTGGCTTCCACAGCACTCTGCCCTCTGGGGTCTCTTCCTGTCTGTCTGAACTTGACTTTATTGGTCACTCTTCCTCCGTCAGACCCCTGAACACAGGTATGTTTTAAGGTTTGCTCTTCTCACTCTACTCTCTCTCCTTGGACAATCTCCTTTACTGCCTGCTTTACCTGTCACAACTTGGTAATTGAGTCCCAAATACACAGAGAGTATATCCCACTCTCTAAAGGTTCAGACTTTAATCTAGGGCCTGCAGGTTCTGCCTCACTCATTCTTCTAGACCTGTCTTGCCTGTGGCCAGGCAGCTCAGGCAGAGGTGAAATCCACAGGGTAGTCAACAGACAGAAAGATCAGAGATTCAAACAGGTGTCACTAAAGCAAAAACTGGGAGGCCCAGAAGAGGGATTGAGTGTCATAGGCCAGAGCAAGAAGAGAGAATTAGAAATCCAGGTAACTGAGATGGCAATAGGAAAAACCCAAGAGCACAGTCCTACCAATTACATCAAAAATTCTGTTTTCCCCTATATTTTTAACTAGCGATCTACACATATATCAGTTCCTGCCTCTCTCAGACTCAACACATCCAGTATAAAATGCATTATCTTTCCCACAAAGTAAGCATTTTCCTCGGGGTTCGTCTTACCAGACAATGGCATCGCTGCACTCCCAGACATCCACGCTAGAAAACTAACATACAAACCACACACACACACTCTCCTCGCCCATCAAAGCTACCGCAGTGCAATGAACACCATAATTAGAAACTGGAAGCCCAAGGCTTCACCTCTAGCTGTCCTACTTATCAACTGTGGGAATTAAATACTCTGGTTTTTAGTTTCTCCATTTGTGAAATAAGGATAATAAAATCTACTTTAAAGCTATCGAGGCAGCTTTCCTAAAACATATATTTCTTTGTATCTGCCCAAACACCTTGATGGTTCCCTAAAAGATTAGTGGCTCTTAATCCTTTTTATGAAATCCTGAGATGAGCGCACAGTCTCACACATAGACATGTACACACAACTCTGGAGACTTTCATGGAGAGCTTAAGTCCATTATTCTTATGTCAGGTTAAGAGCACCTAACTCAAAATAGAGTTAAAACTCTACTGTGGCACTAAGGTCCTAGACAATCTGGCTGCAATCTATCTTTCTGGATTTTTCTACCATGACACCCTTTGCCAAGATTCTAGATGACACTGTTCCCCAAACACAACACAGTATTTCCTCAGCCTAAAATGTCCACCTTTCTAGACCATGAGGGCCACACTGCAGGGATGATGGGGTGGGGAGCTGGAAGGGGCCTGAGTAGAACACCCTGGACTGCTGACCTCTGTACCTTATGTGAGAAAGCAAAAAACTTCTACCTTGTTTAAGCCACTGTTATTTTGGGGCTTTGTTATTTCCAACTCAATTACCACATAAACCCAATCTTACTGAGGAAGATATTTAAATACATGCTCTGCCCTTGGCCCCAAAAGCTTAGCTCACTAGCTGAGCGTGGTGTTGACAACACCAAGCCAAGGGTTGAGATCCCCTTAACCGGTCATCTTTACATAGGGGGAAAAAAAAAAAAAATTTTAACAGTGGTTAACTTTGGGTTAACACACTATTTTTATTTTGTATTTACCAAATTTCCTACAATATGCATTATTTATGTTATCAGAAAAGCATCTGTTTAATGTTTTATTAAAGAAAGAAATGACAGATTGTAAGGACATTTAAGGTAGCGGTTCTTAACCCTGCTGTATATTCAAAAATCTCAACACTCAGGCCACACCCTGGAAAAATTAAATCACAATCTCTGTTAGGGACAGAACTAGGCAACAGTACCTTTTTAAAGCTCCTCAGTGATTCTGATGTGCAGCCAAGGCTGAGAGCCACAGTTTTCAGAGGAGAAAATGAGCTCCTGGAGGAAGGAATTGTCTGTGATTCACCTCCATATGGTCAGAACCTGGTTCTGTGCTTGGCACAGTGAGCATCCATGAATGTTTGTAAGCCCACAGGTGAGGAAAGTACAAGGGCACAGGGGATTTCCCACTCCAGACGCACAGGATACACACCTGAAGAGTGTGGCTCACCTCAATGGCATAGCAGAAGTCAGCACCTGCTGTGACCGCCATCATTGACAAGAGCCCTGTGCCAGTGCCAATGTCCAGAACCAAGGCCTTCTGTCCTCTGTCCCTGACCCTGCTCACAGCAGCCCGGATACCCTGGTAATATTTTATATTCTAAGAGAAAGAGAGAAACAGCTGTCACTTCATATCAGTTATTACCAATAAGTGAAAAGGTGCGTTGTGAAGTTCCAGAGTCACAGTTGGTAACAGCAGTTAAGTCATGACCCTCTGGCCTTTCTGGACCCTCAAGGACCACCATTGGGTAGCTGAGTGGGGTACACCTTGCAAGACTCCAAGAGCATGGGTCAGTCTCTGACCCTTTATTAAGCAACTGTTCCTGCCCCCTCCCACATTCACTCTTCTATACTCTGCTGGGGCTAGGGCTCTACAAACTATATTCTTCTTTTTCCAGCTGATAGGTGCAGCTAATAGGAAAACAAGACTGGAAGGTAGGAGAAGGGAGAAGTCTTGCCCCTTCCTGTATGGCTGCTGCTCTCATCAGGATTCCTCCAGTAGCAGCAGTTGGTTCCAGACCCCAGCTTCCCCCAGTACTCCCAAACCATCCTCCTCGGGCCCCGCAGAGCAGCAGCAGCAGCACTCGAGCAAGCAACACGTCTCAGAGATGTGAGCATCAGCTCCACAGGATCTCTCCTCCACACCAGTGGATTCTGGAAACTCTAATCTTTTCCTTTTGTTTCTCAGCCCTGGGCAAGGCAACTGCTCCCTGCAATGACTACTGCTGGGCACCTCAGTGCTCTCATTTGCTTTCCAGTCCTCCCACACCTGGGTAACCAAATCCCTATCTTAAATTCCCTCTGCTGCAATAGGTAATGTGGCTTTGTTCTCCTTACTGGACTCTAACTTTTTTTTTTTTTTTTTTTTTTTTTTTTTTTTAAAAGATGACCGGTAAGGGGATCTTAACCCTTGACTTGGTGTTGTCAGCACCACGCTCACCCAGTGAGCGAACCGGCCATCCCTACGTGGGATCCGAACCCGGAGCCTTGGTGTTATCAGCACCGCACTCTCCCGAGTGAGCCACGGGCCGGCCCTGGACTCTAACTTACATAGCTTCTTTCTCTGAAAAGTATTTCCCCCCTCAGGAAATAATTTCTTTGCATCTTGAAGGTTTTAGTTCAGGTCTTTAGTAACTTAAACAGATACATCTTCCACCTGTAATAGTTTGGCTGAATAGGTCACTGACCCTTCTGTTGAAAAAAACTAAAGATGACAGAAAAAATACCTGTAAGCCTTTTTAAATGCACAGATGATCCAGCAAGTTAGTAAGGAACATTAAGAGGCCATTAAACTTTAGGATAACTTGCTATGCAATAGTACATAAATAATATAGGAATGGTATCAAAAGGGTAATGTTCTCTGACCAAAGGGCAATCAAGTTAGAAATCTCAATAACAAAAATATAACTAAAGAAAAAAGATTTTCAAGCATTAAGAAATGCACTTTTAAACTCACAGGTAAAAGATTAAAGCAAACTGGAATTAGAAAACATCTAGAACTAAACAATAATTTAAAAATTATATATCAATGGGCCGGCCCGTGGCTCACTCGGGAGAGTATGGTGCTGATAACACCAAGGCCCCAGGTTCGGATCCCATATAGGGATGGCCGGTTCGCTCACTGGGTGAGCGTGGTGCTGACAACACCAAGTCAAGGGTTAAGATCCCCTTACCCGTCATCTTTAAAAAAAAAAAAAAATATATATATATATCAAACTCATGAGATGGCTAAAGCAATACTTGAAGAGAAATGTATCAGGAAAGACAAAAAATGAGCTAAGCATCCACCTAAAAAAATTAGAAAGAGGACTACAAAATAAATACTGAATAAGTAGAAAAATAAAAATAATAAAAAACAAAAATGAATGAATTAGGAAACAAATATAAAATAGAGAAGATAAACAAGGATAAGGATTATTTCAAAAGACATCCTACATAGGGCCGGCCCATGGCTCACTCGGGACAGTGCAGTGCTGATAACACCGATGCCACAGGTTCGGATCCTGTATGGGGAGGGCCGGTTCGCTCACTGGTTGAGCGTGGTGCCGACAACACCAAGCCAAGGGTTAAGATCCCCTTACCGGTCATCTTTTAAAAAAACAAACAAACAAACAACAAACAAAAGACATCCTACAAAGTAGGGAAGGAAGGGAAAAAAAAAAAGACAAATAAAATTGATGAAACTCCGGTTAGACTGGTAAAAAAAAAAAGGAGCAGGGGAGGGAAAGAAAGAAGTGTAAGTAGCCAAAAACTAGAAATGAAGGTGGGGAGCAGTAGGGAAAGAATGTCAGCACCCATGCTGCAGATATTAGAGAGATTAAAGGCTATTATAAATAACTTTTAGCAAACAAATTTGAAAAATTGGATGAAGCAGACAATATTGTATTGAAAGTTCTAGCCAGCACACTAGAGCAAGAAGAAAGGCAATAAGGTCTAGAAAGAAAGCAACAAAATTGTTATTATTCACAGAGATGAATGTCTCTATAGAAAACCCCAAATTATCTATAGATAACTATTAGAACTAATAAGAGAACTTAGAAAGATTATAGGACTCCAGATCAATAAATAAAACTCAGTGGAAATTGTATAGCAACAGCCTTTAAACCCTTGACAAAAAAAAGGACTTCTTAAACAAGTGTCAAAATGCATTAACAAAAAAGGAAATATCAGATAAATCTGACATTAAATTTAAGAACTTCTGTTTATCAGATTTTTTTTTGAAAAACCCACAAATTAAGAGAGGACACCTGCAATACATATAAATGACAAATTATTAGTACCCAGAATATATAAAGAACCCTATAAATTAAGTCAGAAAAAAGGAAACATGAATGGCCAATAAACAAATGAAAAGATGAGCATACTCAATATTAACCAGGGAAATATAAATTAAAACTGCAATGAGAGACTAGTTCACATCTACTGGATTGTCAAAAATTTTAAAATTGGTTAATACCAAATACTGGTAAGGATGTGGACCAATAAAAATTATCAGACATAGGTGGTGAGATTGTAAACCGGTACAACCACTTTGGAAAGGAATTTGGCGTTACCTGCTAGAGCTGAACACACCTGATGGCCCAGCAATTCCATTCCTAGGTGTACATAACCTAGAGAAAAGTGTGCATATGCACCAAAGTACATGTATGGGAATGTTCCAGCAGCACTACTTAAAATGGCAAGAAGTTGAAAACAATCCCACAGTCTATCAACTGAAGAATGGGTAAATGATATATTTACACAATGGAATCTATACATCAGTGAAAATTTATGAGCTACAGCTACAGGCAATATTGATGAATCTTTAAAAAGCTGAGCAAAAAGGCAACTCACAAAGAATAAATACAGTATGATTCCATTATATGCAGTTCAAAAACAGGCAAAACTAAAAATTTATTTTTAAGGATACATACTGAAGTAGAGCTCCCTACACCCTCATAACATACACTATTTGCTTCTGCAGAATTGCTTGCTTAACCTAAGTAACTCCATTTTGCCCCATCTGACCTGCAGACTACCCCCACTTCTGCATGAAAAATCGTTGACCTTTTCATAGACACAAAAAACAATTGCATAGAAACAGGAGCCATACACAGTGAATTATTACATGGGAACAGAACCATACACAATAAAAACTTGTACACTTGACTGCTCAAACGGCTCATTCTCAGCCTCTGTGACCTAACTCCCTAGCTTGCTTTGTGCACCTGGACAAACCTGGGTGCCAATGGGATGTAGTTTTTGTCTTTAAAAACCCCACAAGACCAAAGCCCAATGCCACTCTTCCTTGGTTGCACCTTGGGAGACGGATGCTGGCCAGCTAGAGTGAATAAACTGCCCTTTTCTGCACGAGTGGCGTGTAAGTGCATTTCTTGTGGGAGGGTGCCTCACAACAATACTAGATAGTAAAACTACAAAGAAAAGCAAGGAAGTGGTTAATACAAAATTCAAGACAGTGGAACCTTCTAGAGGGAGAGCAAGAATGCAATCAAGTAGAAGCACACAGGGATTCTGAGTAACAGTAATGCTCTTTTTTAAGCTGAGTGTGAGTCTATGAACATTTGCATTATTATTATTATTCTTTAAACTACACATGCACATTTCATACCCTTTTGCATATATATGTCACAATAAAAAAAATTTTTTAAGAATGCTACCAAGCCTCAAAATAGCAACACAACTCTAAAAGAACATGAAATTTTAAAAGGAAGTTATTTCCAAACTAGTATCCATATTCAGCCTAATTCTTAAGTGTGGAGTTAGAATAAAGAAGTTTTTAGATAAGCAAAGCCTCAAAAGCCTTATCTCCCATGCACTTTTCCACAGGAAATTGAGGAAGGATATGCTTTACCCAAAAGAAGGAGAAAACCAACAAAGAGGAAGACATGGGATCCAGGAAATGGAGGATTCAATATAAAAAAAAAGTTAAGGATATCTGCAGGATGATAAACAAGAATCTGAGAAAGACTTATACATAGCAGGTCTACAGTCCAGACTGGAAAAGGTCAAAATGATCCCAGAGACATTCTCCAAGAAGATAAAACTGACAGAATATCAGATGTGTTTGACCTCTCATTCTGAAAGAAAATTTAGACAATTGGCAGAAGAGTTTGAGCATGAAAGAGTGATAGATACATAGAAAACAAAGCAAAAAATAAGATAATTTTAACAAAGAGTTGTGCAAGAAAGGAAAAGCAATCAGAGTATATCACATAGCTCAACTGTGAATAGTGTTTACATAGCCCCAATAAGGTAAAAATATGATTTTTAACTAACATATATACTTACGTAAGTGCTTACCTCATAATAATCCTTTAAAGAACTACTACCGTTATCCCCATTTTACAGACAAGAAAAGAGATACACAAAGAACTTAAGTGACTTGCCCACTGAAATACTGAATAGTGATTTAGCAAAAATTATAACTGCATTGGGAGGAAAGGGGAATGAGTTGGAAGGCAGAACTAGAAGGAAACCAAATTCTCAGTTCTCACAGTGATAAACAAAAGTTGATAGCTATTTAGATATGGGGGTAAACACAAAAGAAACAGCTAAAAGAGAAGAAATAAGGCTGCCTCTGAGGTTAGGCATAAAAACCTTTTGTCCGCGGAAAACGATATACTAGGGAACTGCTATTTTTCACAAAAAACTCATAGAACTGACTCTTAATGTAACTTCATTTATCATTTATCTCTTCAATAAAATCAGTATGGCATTTTATGTGGTTTTTACCATAAATTTTTTTAAAGTTAAAAAAAAAGTCAGTATGGCAATGATTGAAATTTGTTGAACTAGGAAACCCAACATCAAATAAAAATTGGGGGGTTGGGGGTTGTAATTTTCTCTGTGTAGCTGTGGCTGTGAGGTAACAGAAGGAGAGTGGGACTGGGATCTGGCCCGGGAGTTTGCAGGACAGCCATGAGCTGATCACCTGGAAACCCTGACTAGCAACATCCTCAATTGTAAATCATGGATGGCATAGCCTTTGCATGAATGACACCTATTAAATTAGCTATTACTTCTTCTTCTTCTTTTTTTTTTTTTTTGCCTTTTTGCCTTTTTGTCTTTTTTACTGACCGGTAACGGGATCGCAACCCTCGGTGTCGTGCCCGTACCAGGGACCGGCAACGGGATCGCAACCCTCAGTGTTGCGCCCGCACCGCACTCAGCCAGTGAGCAGGAACCGGTCTCCACATGGGATCCGAACCCTCAGCAGGAGCGCCGCCACGCTCCCAAGCGGCGCACTTCTCCAATGCGCCACTGGGCCGGCCCTAAATTAGCTATTACTTCTTAATTGCTCAATTTTGAAGATACTACAGAAACTGGAGCCCTCTTCGAAGGCAATTTGGCAGTGTCTATCAAGAATTATACCTATGTTCATAACCCTAGACTATACCAAAGAAGATATACAAATGGCAGATAAGCACGTGAAAAGATGTTTGATGCCATTAGTCATTAGAAAAATAGGAATTAAAACTACAGTGAGATAAAACTACATACTCATTAAAATGGCTAAAACAAAAAACACTGACAATACCAAATGTTCATGAGAATCTGAAGAAACTGGAACTCTGACACATCAGTGATGGAAAGACAAAATGGTACATCCACTTTGGAAAACAGTTTGGCAATTTCTTAAAAAGTTAAACATACACTTATCATACAACCCGGCAATTCTACTCTTAGGTTATCTACACAAAAGAAATTAAATCACCCGTCCACACAAAGACTTGTGTATAAATGTTTACAACTATTCAAAATAGCCAAAAACTGGAAATAATCCAAATGTCCATCAACTGGTGAAGGGACAAACAGAACATGGGATAGCCATATAATGGAATATTACTCAGCAATAAAAAGGAATGAACTCAACATGGATAAGCCTCAAAAATATGAGTGAAGAAAAACAGACACATGAGACTATATGTTGCATGATTTCATTTATATGAAATTTCTAGAAAAGGCAAAATCAAACAGAAAGCAAATGAATGACTGCCTGGGGATGGGGGTGGGATTGACTGCAAACAGACATGAGATAATTTTATGGGCTAATGGAAGGGTTCTAAAAAAACACAACAACATATAAGGCACTGTGCAAAAGCATAGAGAAATATATTTATCTTGGCCCTGCTTGGCAAGTGCGGATTGCATTTCCTCATCTAAAGAATTAGGGAGGGGAGACCAGAAGCTTAAAGGTTAAACAATGAAGAGTCATGAATGTTCTGTAAAGGAGTTTGGATTTCATCTCAAAAGCAATGAAAGGCCACTGAAGGGTTTTAAGCAGAGAAGTAACATGCCGGTCAAATTGGCATTTCAGAAAGTCTCACTGGGCGCCTATGGAGAGGAAGGAAATGAACGGACCAACACCAGTAAATGAGGACTGAGCAGGGCTGTGGGGTTGGAAGACCAACAGAATTTGATGACAGATTGCAGGCTCAGATGAGGAAAAAGGAGCCATCTTTCTGCTTTGGCTGACTGAATGGATGGCAATGCTAACTGTCCAAATCACCTGGTGGCTGGGGCAAAAATGACTCTCTCTGCATGCGACAATAAAATCAGAGAAGCTCACAGCCCCAATGGTCCAATAAGAAGCCAAGACCATTAAACTAGAGAGGATTAGTCAAAAGACAAGAACAATGTTTTTTCCACCTTCTATAATTCCCTGACAGCTAAGCTCAAATATTTGATAAAAATTAGGGAGGCACCCAGGGCCGGTGGTATAGCCTACACACTAAAGGTACTTAACACGGTTCTTCTGTCAAGGTGTTTCCAGGAAGGAGGTAGGCTGAGCAGAGTTAACAGGGCCAGGTGATGGAGATAACAACACCAACACAGCCATGTGCCCAACCCTCCCACAGGCCCTGATCCCTCTCCTGCCTGGCACTGCTCAGTTTCTAGGCTTTACCTTGCACTCCTCTCCTTTGAGCCTCTCAGCTTCTGAACCATCCAGCTAGGGCCGACTAGTCGAGTACTCAATACACCAGGAAATTCTGGGTTGCTAACCATATAAGACCAGAACTGCACTGCTCTATAACTCAACCACAAAAAGAAAACTCAGATCAAACACAAATGTGAAAGAGAAGAGCTTTTCATTCTGCAATGAAGAACATAGTCCTCAGTGACCTCTAGAGAAATGATTTTAAGATCATAAACTGACTATACAAAGTGAAACATCATGTAATTAGAGAATTTTACCTAGAGGAGATCATGCAGAGTATACCTTACTCTTTTTAAAACTGAATAAACAGGGCTGGCCAGCTGGCTCAGTTGGTTAGAGGATACTGCTGATAATACAAAGGTCCAGAGTTCAATCTCTGCACTGGCCAGCTGGCAAAAAAACAAAACAAAACTGAATAAACAAGGTCAGAAGAAGTTGCATGTTTTCTCCAAGATCACAAGCACGTCAACAGCAGAGCCACTACCAACAGATGAAAGACACACACACACACACACACACACGAATGCTATTCAGCCTTAAAAAAAGGAAATCCTGTCATTTGTGGCAACATGAATGGACCTGGAGGACATTATGTTAAGTGAAATAAGCCAGGCACAGAAAGACAAATAGTGCATGTCCTCACTTATATGTAGAATCTAAAGAAGTTGAATTCACAGAAGCAGAGAGAATAGTGGTTGTTTGGGAGGGGGTTTGGTCAAAAGGTACAAAGTTTCAGTTAGGATGAATAAGTTCTGAGATCTACATATAGCATGGTGAACTACAGTCAATAATAATGTATTCTATACTTGAAAATTACAAAGAAAGGAAATCTTTTTTTTTTTAAAGATGACCGGTAAGGGGATCTTAACCCTTGACTTGGTGTTGTCAGCAACACACTCACCCAGTGAGCGAACCGGCCATCCTTATATGGGATCGGAACCCGTGGCCTTGGTGTTATCAGCACCACAATCTCCCAAGTGAGCCATGGGCTGCCCCAAAGAAAGTAAATCTTAAATGTTCTCCCCACAAATGAAATAAGCATGTGAGGTGATAGATACGTTAGTTAGCTTGATTTAATCATTTCACAATGTATACATATATCAAAACACCTTGTACAACATAAATACATACAATTTATATTTGTCAATTACATCTTATTACAGCTAAGAAAAAATTAAAAATTAAAAATTAAATTAAAAAAAAAAAAAAGCCAGAAGTAGGACCCTGCCTCCTGATTTCTTGATTACTACACTATATTGCCTCTCAGCATCATTCTAACATCATGACTCAGGGGGAGGTTTTTTTTTTTTTTCCTTTTTGTCTTTTTTTCATGACCAGCAACGGGATAGCAACCCTCGGTGTCGCGCCCGCACCGCACTCAACCAGTGAGCGGACCGGTCTCTATATGGGATCTGAACCCTCGGCGGGAGCGCCGCCGCACTTCCAAGCGCCGCACTCTAGCGCGCCAGCCAGCCCCAGGGGGAGTTTTTAACTTTCTTGTAACCCAAGATTTCAAAACACTACATCAAGATAATAGTTTCCTTTTACACTTACTCTGTCTTTGTCATGCAGCATATCTGCATAGGATGACCTAAAAAAACAAAAAAGACAAGTCAGAAACCTTTGCTAACAACAACACATCAACACGTGAGAGTATTCACATATAAAACGTATTCCTAAATCAAATGAGGAAAACGTGTTATCCATTTTAAACTATTTTAATGGAGTTATAAGCTGTCATTCTCCAGTACTGCAGAAAAAAATTTCAGAGACAGATGTTCTCAAACCTAAAAATGCTCTAGTAGTTAGCCCTGTCACAGTAATTCCACAGCCACTAGCATCCTAATCATGTTTTACACATCATATATTTTCTTCCTCAGGAACAACTCAAACTCCATTTGCCTAATATTTGACCTAATCTTGCACACATTTGCACCTTCAGATAACCAGCAAAGAAAGGAACTGGGGAAAGGGAAAGTATACACCTGCTGTACATGTGAGTGGCATCAAACCAAGAGTTCACCAAACAGTGTTAAAGAAAGGAGAGTCACTTATCCTTATTTTCTACCATAGTAACTCACAAATTGAAAAACTCTCTGGTAGGATGTGTACCCAAAACTTAGCAGGCCCAATGTGAAGATGCTTTCTGGGAATTCGAGGGGAGAGCTAAGACACTGTCACTAAAACAGAGGCCCTCCAGATTTGGGTCAAAGCCAGAATCACCCGAGAGCTTATTTGAAATGCAGATTTCCAGGACACACACAGACTCTGATCCAGAATATTGGGCTAGAGTCTGGAAAGCTACGCTTGAACTGCTGCTTGCTCCAGTCAACTGTGACACAGGTGGTCCATACTCTATGCTTTCAGGAGCACTGCACTGATAGAATGAGGTTCTTTTTTTTACAGCACACCAAGGCTTTCATCTCTGAAGCCAGCTATGGATGTTTAGTTGAAATCTGGTGATTTCTACCTCTGCCCACTTTTTAAGAGGCATTTCCACTCCTCATCTTCCTGGCCTCATCACCCACTCGTTCCCCACCACTCCACTGACATCTCTCTCATTAACCACCTCCAGCTCACTCCTGTAGCTAAGGTCAGTAATCAGCATCCGGGACTTCTCAGCAGCCTCTGACCCTGCTGGACACTCCCTCTCTTCTCCTTTCCACTCTGGTTATTCCCTCCAAATTCTCCTTTTGCCTCCTCAACTACTCCACAACTCCTTCAGCCCTCATCCTTTCACATTCCACACCCTCTCTGAGAGACTGCAAACTCTCCCAGTTTTAACCCTCAGTAACAACTGCAAATTCTGTCTTCAGATCCACAATTCTATCTATTCATCAGCTTCTCAACCTGGATGTCCAAATCCAAACCTAATCTCTATCACCTTCCCTTTCCCAACACCACCTACCCCTCCTGTTCTCCCTCTTAGAAAACAACAGCTCCATCCACTTAGTCACTCTAACCAGAATCCTGGTCCTTCCTGAATGTTCTCTCTCCCTCCATCACCGCATCCAGCGAGTTAACAAACTCAAGCTCCCTCAAGCTGTTTCCTCCTCTCTCTACCTCTACTGCCTCTGCTTTGGGATTGCAATATACACCCAAATGGCATCCTCTCTCTCCAACCCACTTCCCACACTGCTCTCAGTGAGTGTTCTAAACTGTACCTAATCCTCTTTCTCCTCTGTTTAACATCTTGATAACTCAGAAAATAATGTCCAAAATCTTTATAAATAAAGTAATATTTTTGAACCCTTATTCTGTATCAGATATTCCATTTCATAAAATTAACAAACAACCCTAAGATAAAGGTATTATAAGGTGATATGTATATTATTATATTGAGGTATATATTATTATATTAAGGCGCAGAGAAGTTAAGTAGTTTGACCAACAGCACAGAGTTAAGTGGCAGAGACGGGATTTAAATGCATGTTCTTCTTACTGCATTTTGCTAGGACCTTTTACAACATGACCCCTCCCTACCTTTTCAGCAGCCTCTCTCACCACATCCCTACTTTTGCACCATACTCCAGCCACACTGAACTAGCCACTCCCCAAACTGGCCCATCTGGAAGTTTATATACAATACAATCCCTGCTGCTCAGACTTCAATCTCCTTCCCTTTAGGTTTGAGAAATCACTCAATCACACCACACACATACCCCCCAAGTGCAGCTGGTACTCGCTGCTTCCATGACCTTTTTGTGTCCATTTCCAGTGGCCTTTATTTCACTGTGTTGTAATTTTTTTTATAGGTCTCTTCCACAAAAATTAACAATCCTTAATAATGGGAACCGTATCATCTTTATCTAGGTATCCACAGGCCTAGCACAGTGCTGGCATGCTGAATGCACTTAATGATTGTTAAATAATGACAACTCACATACTTTTGTTCCTTCCAAGGAACAAAAGAGCATTTTTCACTTTTTTCATTCAAGAGAATTTAACCATATGATGAATGTGATACCATTTCAGTGACACAAGAAAACAATTAAAATTTCATACTCTACTACTACTGAAACTTGGATCCTCTTTGCTCAACTAAACAAATGGTCTCAGACTCTGGTAAGGCTACTACTACATGATGCCTGACATTGCCACAAGCATGACTTTGCATAACTCCGAAACACACCTACCTGGCTGAGCAGACCCACTCATGACCAACACCTGCCATGATCATAAGCACTAAATGACAGCCTGGTCCACACCTAGAACTCCAAGTTGTCTGCTTTGAGATCAAGTGCCCGATCGAGCTGCAACTGACTATGAACCAACCCTTGTTACCTCGCAATCTCCTGGTGGTAATCATAGTGCTCATCTTCCTCCAGCCACTCCACGGATCCCGTGGTCGGATTGGCCCGCCCGCAGAAGACCTTCATGGTGCCGATCAGCTCCCCCGTTTTAGAGAAAAGCAGTCTTGCCAGTTCATTTCTTGTGGAAAGGTTTGGTTATCAGAAATCTATTTATATCATGATGCCCAAAAATGGCGGGGGGGGAGGACGGGCGACACAGGAAGATGAAAGGGAAAAAAAAAAAAATCAAGAAATTGACAAAAATGTGAAAGTTCCTGTAAGTATTTATTAGTCTGTATTTTATTTTATTCTTTCCAGTAAGAGTTACTTGGGGTTTTTTTTTGTCCTTTTTGAGACCGGCCGCACCGCGCTCAGCCAGTGAGCGCTGTGAGCGCACAGGTCATCCCTATATAGGATCCGAACCCGCGGCAGGAGCGCTGCTGCGCCCCCAGCGCCGCACTCTCCCGAGTGCGCCACGGGCTCAGCCAGAGTTACTTGGTTTTATATTCAGCATATAACATCAAAAACTACTATAAATTCATAAAGCTGTCTGGAAACTTCAGCAGTCCCTGATGATTCCAACAGGGTCAGATGAGCTTCACAGGTTCATCTGGGTGTAGCCCTCAGGTAAAGGCAGGTGAAAAGGGAAAGTAAAGCAGAGCAAAGGGCTAATAGGAGGAGAATAGGAGGAGATGGGGTGGTGGTAAATGAGCCTCAGTAAAACACTCAGTTTAAGGAAAAATACAAAGGTAGAGCAACCTGAGAGCCAGACAAACCTTCATCTAAACAATAAATCATAGCCAAACACAGACATGGGTAATCCCAGGAATATAATGTTGACCCAAAAAAGCAAATCTCGGAACACATACAATATGATTCCATTTATATAAAATTTGTAATCATGCAAAATGGAACAATACATTCTTCAGGGATCACACTAAAAAGCACAGCAGGGAATGAGGATAGTGGTTACTTCTAAGAGGGAAGGGAAAGAGATGGGCTCAAGGAAGGCCACACAGCAGACTTCAATTTAATAGTATTGTTTTTTCTTAAATTGGGTGGTAGGAATACACATGTTCATGATATTATCACTTTTTATGCCTCACTGTTTTTTTTTTTTTAAAAGATGACCGGTAAGGGAATCTTAACCCTTGACTTGGTGTTGTCAGCACCACGCTCACCCAGTGAGCTAACCGGCCATCCCTATGTAGGATCTGAACCCGTGGCCTTGGTGTTATCAGCACCACACTCTCCCGAGTGAGCCACGGGCCGGCCCTCTCACTGTTTTTTATAATCACTTCCTATTCACTCAAAATTTAATTTTGAAAGCAATTTTTAAAAAAACCTTTCTTCATCTAACAACGTTTTGCTTCAAATAAATAAAATGGCACCAGGTTCATGTCTTGTGCGGCCTGTCTCCCCCAAAGAGATCTCTTTCTGGGAGGCACAGAAACACCACAGCTGAAACTTTGAAGGCACTCTTCAGAAGGTATGGGCACTCTGGGCCGGCCTGTGGCTCACTCGGGAGAGTGTGGTGCTGATAACACCAAGGCCACGGGTTCAGATCCCATATAAGGATGGCCAGTTTGCTGACAACACCAAGTCATGGGTTAAGACTCTCCTTACCAGTCATCTTTAAAAAAAAAAAAAACACACACACACAAAGATTCAATGGGTTTTGGGTGGGACATTCAATCCACAGCACTAAGTAAACATTGAATTCTTATACGAGAGGATGGGAAATAATCTTTTCTGAAAAGACTCAGGTAGTCACTGGCCTGTTTCAAAGTAACCAATTAGTTCTTTGGTAAAACTCAACTTCTAAAATCCCAGCATATCTATCCTCTAATCCAATGGCTCACAAACTTTCTGACAACCTCAGTAAGAAATATACTTTAGGGCCGGCCCGGTGGCGCACTGCTATAGTGCGCCGCTTGGGAAGTGTGGCGGCGCTCCCGCCGAGGGTTCGGATCCCACATACAGACCAGTTCCCGCTCACTGGCTGAGCGAGGCGCAGGAGCAACACCGAGGGCTGCGATCCCGTTGCCGGTCCCGGTCCGGTGTGGGGGCGACACTGAGGGTTGCAATCCGTTGCCGGACACGGAAAAAAAAAAATAGAAATATACTTTACATTGAGACTCAATACACACACATGCACATATAACTAAAGTTTCACAGAACAATATTTAATTTTCCTATAGGAAAGGCCCTCTGATATGTTCTATTTAATTTTTATTTTTTAGTTGTGGTCATGACCTACTAGGTTGATTTCATAACTCACCAATGGGTTGCATCTGCAGTTTGAAAAACATTGCTATAATTAGCTCTGTATATCTTATATACTAATACTTATTTTAAAGACAGAGTATCTGGAATTACCAGAATTTGTAATGTGTTCAACAAATACTGTAGTAGAGAAAGAAATGACAACACCTGGCTGAATGTTCAGGGAAGGCCTAAAAGGTAGGTAGGATTGGGGGTGGCAGGAGGCACTTCATCTGCTTAGAAAGGCTTAGACAATCATGCACATTAAATAAATCAGTTTGGCTGAAGTGAAACTGAACAAGGAATCAATAATGTTGGTGGTCCATGTGGAATAACTTTAGTCTATGGAAGTCCTTTCTTGTCTGTGATCTTGCTGAGGCTATAACTAGGACCAGTGTCTTTTCATAACTTAGAAAAGTCATTGTTTTTTTATAAATCTAAATAAATGTCTGAGGATGGGAGCCATGTCCTGTGTTACCAATTTTATTAATGAATGAACTTCTTCTGGGTGGTACTACACACCTCTTAAGGATGAATCCCCTCAGGTGTTACTGTGACTTGTCCTCTCTCAGAAGGAATCCACACTCCAGATTCAGGAGATATTCTCTGACCCCCTCCTCATTCTCCAAGAGTTATGAACTCACATGGTCTTCTACAAGGAATGAATGGAAACCACCGTGCCAACCCCTAGCTACTAGTCAGATTTCAGAACACATGTTCCATTCATTCATTCGAAATTTATTAAGTACTTTTTTTTTGGCCGCTGGCCGGTTAGGGAATCCAAAACGTGACCTTGGTGTTCTAAAGCTGCACTCTAACCAACTGCACTAACCCGCCAGCCCTAAGTACCTTATATATATACCAGGCGCTGTGTTGGGGCCTGGGGCCACCACCATAAACAAGATAGAGAAGGTCCTTGCTCTCCAAGAGTTTAGTCTCTAATGGAGGAGTATAAAGTAATATAAACAATTACAGATTATGTGAGTGCAAGAAAAGAAATACACAGGATGTTATGGAAAGAGAATACAAGGTTATGGAAGGACTCTCTGAGGGAGATGACATTTAAGTTGAGACCTGCAAGATAAATTAGGCCAACAGTTGGGAAAACAGCTTTTATATGCCAGGAACCCTTACTCCAACTGTTCCAAGAAAGGGCTCAAAGTAGACAAAACTAGGTGCATAAGCAAAATATGACAGAAGCTTGAGTGACTGAAACACTTAAGAGCAGAAAAAATGATAGGAGACCAGGGGCGGACTTCGCAAATCACATGAGCCTTGTCGGCTTCGGTAAAGTGTTTGGAGGATGTTCTAAGTGCAGTGGGAGCCACCCCAAGGGTTTTAAGCAGAAGCATGCTGACGTCGGGTGTATACTTTCACAGGGCCGCTTTGGCTAGTGTGTGGTGAACAGTCGTTTCCAACGTACTCAGACCACAATGACTGGGAAAGGCGAGCCCATCGGCAGTTCCCTGAAGCATAGAACAGTGGCCCTGTCAGGGGTGCGAAGGCTGGAGCTCTCCATATGAATGAGGCCTGGGTCTCTGTAGGTGAGGGCAGGCGCCAGGCACAGATACTGTGACACAGGCCCCGCGAGCGGCAAGCACGCGACTGTACTGCAAAGCCGGGGCCGGCCTGGCACCCCGCTCCCCCGCGGGCCAAGGCGCACCGAGCCGCCCCACGAGGACCCCAGAAAGGTCCCCGAGAGTCCCGAAGAGACGCGAACCCCGGCGTCCGAGTATGCCCACAGCAGGCCCCTCTGCCGGAGCCCTGTGGCCGAGGTCAGGACGCTGGCCGCACCCCAACCTCCAACCGCGACCCCATCTTCCCAGCACGCCCAGCGCCTCACCCGTAGCGGGAGCCGTTCCTTTTGCCTCCTCCGCCACCGCCATCTTGCTACGGCCGGCGTGCAAGGTGGGACCTCCCAACGCTCGCGTAGCGTGCCGGGGGCGGGGCCCGGAGCAGCACAGGAAGACTTTTCCGTCGCACCCGGCGCGCTCCCACAGTGCTCCGCGACAGCCGCTATGGAAGCCGGCAGGACAGCTGTGCTCCGGGTGAAGCGAAAGCGTAGCGCGGAGCCCGCGGAGGCCCTTGTGCTCTCTTGTAAACGCCTCCGGAGCGACGAGAGCGAATCCGCTGACCAGAAGACGCCAGAGAGTCTGGGGAGACCGGCGGAGAATAATGTCTTCCAGTTGGTGGCCACCGTGTGCTCCCAGGTATGGGGCGGGGACGGAGCCTACGTGGAGGGAATCTTAAGGCTCAGCCGGGATGAAACCAGATCCCGGACCCTCTCACGAACCTCTCCTTTTGCCGGCCCTCTTCTCTGCCGCCCACCTAGGAGGAGCCAGTCCAGCCGCTCCTGCGGGCAGCCCTTCGCCCGTCCCAGGGCAGCCAGCAGCGTATCCGCCGCGATCTCCGCTCGTCGGCTCGGGAGATTCGGCAGGAGGGCCGCTACCGGGTGATTTCCAGCCGCCGATCCTTGGGGATCACCTCTGGCGGCCTGGAGTCCGAATACACGCTGGGGAGCCCAGAAGCCGCCCGGGACACAGGCTTCCAGCTGTTCGATCTGGTCCACGAGGAGGGAGACTCAGAGGCCGCAGCCGCGGGCTCCTGCAAAGTGAGTACGCACCCAGAGGCGGCTGCTGGGCTTTTCCTGACGATAGTGCCAGGAATCTGGACCCGAGAGCAGCACACAGTTAGGAGGCAGGCAACACACAGTTTCAGATTAGGGATGGATAATCTATCCGGCGTAATGGTCTCATTTTACATATTTGGTTATTCATTCAATATGTATTTACTGAGCGTCTACTATGTGCCAGGTATTCTTAGATTCTGTGGATTCAGCACTGAGGACCTAACATTCAGGTAAAGGAAAGAAACAGTAATCAATGTCAGATAGCGTTAAGGGCTGCAGGGGGGAAAGAGTGGTGCCATTTCAGTGAATGTTATTTCACTGAGAAAATGACATTTGAGTGAAAACTTGAAGAAGGTGAATGGCAGGGCATTGTGGATATCTTGGGGAGAGGCCTTCCAGAAAGAGGACCTGCGAATGCAAAGGCCCTAAAGGCAGGTGTTTGCAGGGTCAGTGTTCCTGTAGTCCATTGAGCTGGGGGAGAGTAGTAAGGAATTTGTGGGGAGGATGCCTACTAGACGCTGTGGGTACTTGTAAGGACATTGCCTTTCACCCTGACTGAGATGGGGGACTCACTGGAGCAAAGCAGAGATAGAGCAAATAGGAAAATTGATCAAAGGGAGGTTAAGGAACCAGTCCCTGGGTAGCATATCAAGTTTGAGGCAGATTTAGGTCTAGAATATGTCTTCTCACATTTAATCCAGTGCTTCTTCCACTACATTACATTTACTGTTTGTTTTGTTCTTATTTGAAAAAACAAAGCCTACAACATGCAGTAAAACCACAGAAGTAAAACATTCTCAATGTAAGGTATGCCTCGTCCTGATAAACATTTTAAAAAGTTCACTCATTTTAATCATTTTTCAAGTTTAAAAAAATAATTTTAATTCAAAATGAATCAGCTAGCAAAAATATTTAATCATGGTGCCATTATAACTGTATAGCAATGTGGGTGTGATGTCCTTAGCCACATTTTTCAGCAAAACTAAGTCCAGACTGATTCATGAGTTACAAATTTTTAAAAGTAAACCAATGTTCAGTGGAATCAAATCAATTAACTAGTTCGTTCAATTTTATAAAAAACCTGGTAGATAAACTGATGAAGGACATAAACAGACACTTTCCCAATAACACAATACAGACTCTAAACACATCAAAAATGTTTGCACAGAGTAATTATTTTAAAAATATGATTTTAAGCTTAAAGCATACTTGAGGTTTTTTGCCCACTAGACTAGCAGGGAAAAGGTAGTTGGTAATACTGTTAGCAAGTCTACGATTAAAAGGGTAAGCAATTGTAGCGATTAAAGTTGGTGCAAGCCTGTTGGAAAACAGCATGGCTTTACAAATCAGGAATCCTAAAATAGCATGGGGCCTATTTTTAAAATATATAAATTTGTTATTGTTTGTATCTAAAGCCATCCAAAAATCTAAAAGAAACTTTAAAATTAATGACAGGATTTCTATGCCACATTACATTGGGTTTCCCCTTAAATTGACATCATTTAACACCGAGGTCAAGGGTTTGGATACCCATACTGGCCGGCTGCCAAAAAAAAAAAAAAAAAAAAAAAACTGATATCATTTAAATTTTAAGCAAATAAAGTACCATTTAATAGGAAATCTAAAAAATTAGATAAGTATCCCACCCCCAAGATTTATCTTAGGGAAATAATTCAGCAGGAGCAAACAGCTATAGTATTAACAAAAGCTACTGTTAGTTTGCAAAGTATTGTCAAGTACTGTGCTAAGTACTTGTTATACTGTCTTTTTTTTTTTTTTTTTTTTTGGTGGCTGGCCTATACAGTGATCTGAACCCATGACCTTGGTGGTATAAGGCTGCATTCTAACTAACTGAGCTAACAGGCCAGCCTATCTTCCAATTTACTCATTTAATCCCCACAAAAATTCTATGAGTTAGATACTTTTATCCCCATTTTTCAAATGCAGGAAATGACACATTCATTGCAACACTGTGTGTGGAAGCTAAAAATTATATCTGAGAAATTGACATATGTAACTGGACCATTGAAATTGACGACTGTGAAGATTGGCAATCATTTTTCTCTTAAAAGCAATATATGTTTACTATAGGAAATTTGGAAAAATATAGCAAAGTATAAAGTAAAAGGGAGGAGTGGATCACCCATTTTACCCCCATCCCAAAGGTAATGAGTAAAACTGGTTTATTTACTTCCGAGTATAAAATTCTATGTCTGCCATTTTTCTGTATTGCAAGTCTTGTAAATATTTTAATGGCTGCATAATTTGATGGACTGAGGATGGGGACTTGTGAGTTGGAGCCAGAATTTTCCTCATAAACAGCTTTGAGTTTGCTTAAGAGGCCACACAAAAACTGACATCTCTAGTTCCTTTGTGAGGTCTCCCCTGTCTGCCTTGGCTATGGGACATTCTTCACTTTCCCCTGCATGGTGTGTGGTTTGAGCTACACAATCTCCTGTGATGAACCTGTCAAGAGGGCACATCTGCAGCATATTCCCCTGGTTTCCAAATTCACTTGTGCCGTGAGGTTCCTGGATAACACAGCCTGTCGGCACTGGAGCACATCTTACCTGGGCCACTTCTATACTTGGGCATTCCACAAGCTGTTCTTTCTAGCAGACAGATTATAGTTGAGTCCACTCCCAGCTTGTGATTAAAAGCAGGATGTCATGTAGGCCAAGCCAAAGGCTGGGCGATGGTAGTGGTCACCAGGAATTACCTGTAGGCCTCTATCAGAGGCCACACAAAATTCAGACCCATTTCAGGGTCAGCCATAGAGGTGCTGCTCTGGGCCTATGGATCCTCAAGGGGGTAACATCATACCAAAGGAACTCAGAAAAGATCTGTAAAAGCAGGTCTAACTCAGAGCTTGGAAGCAAGACTGGCCAGCTCTCTGGCCCTCCCTTCTCAGGCCAGTCTTCCCATACGGTCTTGTGTCAGGATAGCAGGAGGCTATCTTGTAGGTTTCTATCTCAAAAGAACTACATATTAATTTTACAGAGATTCTTGATGTTTTAATTTCAATTTCATGGCTAATTGAGACTATTAGTCCTTGGGGATAAGAATCTTGAATACAACATAGAGAACTGTAGGGAGCCTTCCTTCACCCAACTCTTAGGTTCCTCCTGTTGGGAATATCATGTTTCCAGTCATACATGTATCATGTTTTCTTTATAGACATCTGACCCAGATGTGATCCTCTGCAATTCTGTAGAATTGATCCGTGAGCAGTTAACTGTGTCTGAAGATGGACCAGGAGTTGGGCCCCAGGAGGAACAAAAGCATGATGACTATGTGTATGACATCTACTACTTGGAGATGGCCACTCCAGGGTGGATTGAGAACATCCTCTCTGTGCAGCCCTACAGCCAGGAGTGGGAGCTGGTAAGGGGCCCATGAGGAGAGGGGGCATAAGGCAGCCTAAGCTTTTTCTCTAGTCAGATGTTTTGCCTTCCTGGCCTCTGCTCCTGATCAACATCATCCTTGCTTAAAAGGGAACATTTATTCTAAATGCCTTTTAGGAACCTGGGTTTAGTGCAAGGAATTTTGGGAAAGACCATCAAAACTAATAATTTTTGCTCTCAATGAATTTTTTTACAAGGTTTGCAACATCTTTATTATTTATAGCTACCCACTCTCAGGAGGAGAATATGTAGTGGCTTACAATAAAGTGAAGACCAAAAAAAACCCAGAGATTCTTAATGTCAATGAGAACAAAAGTGTTTTTTTTTTAAATTACATCTTAGAAGAGGATAAAAGCTTGGATGAAGAAAGCTAACATCCACCTAAAAGCTAACATTAATGTAAAATGAATAATGAGAAAAGTGAAGGTGGCACCTAACTGTCACACTCACATTTTAAGAGAAGCACCTTATCCTGTACCTGCACTAAAACCAGAGTTTCATAGTCAGGCACCCACCTTGGGGAGAGCAAAGCATTTTATTTTGCTGTTTACAAGCTCTGCTTTTTGGGTGGGGCAGGGAGGAGGGGGGCTGGACTGTACGGTAACCTTGGTGTCATATGGCTGCACTTTAACCAACCGAGCTAACCAGCCAGCCCCAGGCACCCATCTTGGACCACTGCATGGCCCTTCCTCTTGCCTTCCTGCAACATTTACTCTTCAGCTTTTTTTTTTTTTTTTTTGGTGGCTGGGCAGTACCGGGATCTGAACCTGTGACCCTGGTATTATAAGGCTGGGCTCTAACCAACTAAGCTAACTGGCCAGCCCCTACTCTTGAGCTTTGTTCTGACCTTTGGCCTCACCCATAATCCACATAATCCTTCTCCTACCTGGTTGCCCTTCAGGAATTTGAATATCGCTGCCATTATCTGCTCAGAGCTGTCACTCCTTTCTACCCTGCATTCCCTTCTGGTGGCGTTCAGCTTATCCCACCAGACATGTGGTGTCTGGAGCTAGACTCTGAGTGGAGGAGAGCTACTGTCTCCCTCCCTCTCATAGCCTAAGATCACTACAGTCTCCTGTGCAGCAGAGTCAGACTAAAATCCTAGTCGGCCTCTTTTTCGCATGGCCCCCTTACATGACATCTTCCGAAGATGGCATGCTAATAGCTTCCCCCAATGAGTATAACCTTAGAGGTTTTCAGTTAGACTCATATTTGTGTTGAGACGTGCAGGTGAATAATGATGAAGAACCAGAGGACATTTATGAAGATGAAGATGACGAGAACAGTGAAAATAATTGGCGCAATGAGTACCCAGAGGAGGAGGAAAGCAGTGATGGAGATGAAGATTCCAGAGGTGGGTGATAGCCCCAAATGGGGAGGGACTGATAGGATCCAAGACTGAGGTGTAAGTGTAGTTGACAGGTACATCCTAACTGGCTTTCCTTCTCTGCCATTGAGTTCTAATTGGCCAACCACATGCTGTTAGAGCTGTAGGGGACACAAACACTAATGTTTCCAGGGAAACTGCTGCAGGGATTAATGTCAGTCAAGCCTGGGTTCAAATCCTTAGTTTTGTCATTGCCTAACTATGGGTCTTCGGCAAGTTACTCCACCTCCCTGAGCCTCATTTTCTCTCCAGAAAATGAGACAATACTGCACCAACTTTAGTGGCTGGGATTAGATAAAACATCTAGCTCATTGTCCCTTTCCATGTTCCAGTCAAGAAAGTATTGAAGAGAGGTTCACCAATAAGAGTAAGCCCAGGGTTTCATGAGTCAGTTATCTGACATCTCTAGAAGTTGCTGCATTTACATGTGTTTTGAGAAAAATGCAACACAGACATGATACCTGGGGGAAGAGCAAGGAAAGATGCCCTGGCAACACAGTTCCTGTGGTGACTATGTTCTTATAAGTGCCAACAAAAAGAATTTCTTGGTGTGTAATAACGGAGGAACAGTTGATCAAACAATGGAATATTCTGTTGGGGAAATACCAATAATATGTTAAAAGGTAAGAGGAGAGTTTCAAAATTATTTATAATATGACTACAACTATTATAACAATAACAAAAAAATCCTATACTTAGGGGCAAGTGACAAAATACTTCAGTGTTAAAGGACTTGGTTTAGATGGTAGGAATACAATTGTTCCTTTAAAAAAAATTGTTCTATATTTTAAGTTTTCTTTATTGAGCAGGTATTATATAATGGGGAACAAGAAACAAAACTTTTTGAGAAGGGAATGGGTTCTGGTGGTAGCCTAGAAAATCATACAGTTAGAGTCCATTCCTAGTATCTCGTTCTAGGCTCTGATGAATACAGCAGCCTCAGTGAGGAGGAAAGAGGCTGCAGCAGACGACAGATGTGGAACAAATACCCTTTGGATGTACAGAAGGAGTTTGGCTATGACAACCCCCAGGACCTGGATTCAGACTGATGGTCTTGTGATATCCATGAGGTTCTACCACAGGCCCTTGAGAACTCTGTGACTACAGTGTCTTCTGACCTGATGACATCCTCTTAGGTTTCCTAGCTTAACATGTAGAAGCAAAAGCATATCCAACAGCAATGAATGCTCCTTTAGCTTTTTGGCCCAGGCATTTTTCCTCGCACTCCAATTCTCCTCCTACGCTAAAGCCACAAGGGAAGAGAGGCTCCTGTTTTATCAGCAGTAAGATTCTTTTTTCCCATACTGCCAGGCTGCCTGCCTCCAGCAAAACTGTTCCTTTTGATAGAGGGAATCTAGAAGGGCTGCAGTGGGTCCCTTGTAGCAGCACAGCTGGACAGTAATGGCCATTAGGGCAGCAAGTACAGTCTCTGAGCTGTGAGAGGTTTTGGTTACTAGTTGTCTCTGCCACCCCACTTCCAGACTCTGATAATGACTGTAAAAATTGCTGTCTTCCTTTGGCAGCAGTGCCAAGAACAGAATAGATATGAATGTGATACTCCGTGTTTAGTAAAAACTAACTTTGAACATGGAAGCAAGTAAAACCTCCTTTAAAACCTTGGTTTTTTTTGTTGTTGTTTTGGGCTGGCCGGTAAGGGGATATAACCTTTTAAATCCGAATATCTTAGGTATTTTCCCACTGTACTTGCTCCCACAAAAAAGGGGGGTTAGTGAGACAGAAGTTTCAGAATTGACCTTAGACACTAAGGACTTAAGTGAGGAAAAAGAATGCACATCCCGAAGTTGGCTTTCCATTGAGAAATGTTTACTATTTACAGCACTCACCAAAACCAAACTGCTATCAACAGGACCAGTTTTGTTACCAGAACTTATATCTCTTAAGTAAACTCTGTCCCTACTCCTTTCCAAACTACTGCTGCCTTAACTCTGAGTTGGCATTTACTCTTCTAGTGTAAAATTTTCCAATAGAACTTCCTGCAGTGATAAATATGTTGTATGCCTGCGCTGTGCAGTAGCAGCCACTAGCTGCATATGGCTGTTGAGCACTTGAAATGTGATTAGGTGCAACTGAGAAACTGAATTTTTAATTTTATTTCATTTAAATTTAACTAGCTACATGTGGCTAATAGCTATTGTAGCAAACAGCACAGGTCTAAGTAAACAATACACAGAACCTTTAATTCAAGGTGTGACCTCTTGGCCTGTGATATCATGTGCTAAGGTGAATTACACAGGGAGATTCTTCCCACCTCATTTAAAATTTCATGAGTCTCTACTTCTCCATCCTACCTCCATCCATTTTTTCACTTTATGTCCATTTTATAAGCCTTTACCTACATTAGTTCCTATCTAAATGGTGTTGTTAAACCTGCCAAAGTGATTAAATTCAGTGAGCTCAGGCCCTACTATTACAGCTAATTAAAGTAACAAACTTAGTTTTCCCATCTTACGTATCCACAAAGGTTCAATTCAGTGTTGCAAGTAACATGCAGCAACTTACATGTCTAATACTAGTAATCTTAGTCTCCTTCCGTAGGCACAGAAATGAAGGATTAAAAACCAATCTGTGCCATTATAATGTGCTCACCGCTGTATATGTACTCATTAAATTTTGCCAACATTAAAGAACTGACAGCTTCACAAACTGTACCCATTGCAGAAAGGATTAGCACACCAGGAGAAGGATTTAAGGAGACAAACAACAAAGACCTGGTGGAATTTAATTCTGTCATGAAGCTGGAGTGCTGTAGGGAGTCTCTGGCTTCCCTCCCACAGAAGGGTTCCTGGGAGAAGTCTGTATCCAGCCCAGAGGGGAAGAATGCTGTCACCATCCAGTAATGAGAAGAGGATGGCATGGCTCACTAAGCCAGTACTAGGGCACCTGGAGTGTGAGGCCCTTGCTTCCTGTAAAAGCCACTGGGAGGCAGCACATTCCTGGGACTAGCCGGTTATTGGTGGAGAAAGCTAAAGCTAGGGTCAGGGATCATCAAGACAAACACGCTCTGCTTAAAGGATTAGCTCCAGAGGACCCCTAGTACAGATGCCAGCTTGGCTCAGTCAGGAATCATGTTTATATAGTTTAGGCAAGTCAACCTTTGCACAAGACTCCCTGTTGTCAGGTAGGAATTTGCTATGTAAATCCCCAACCCATGACAGTATGAATGTCCCTCCATGTTCTCACAGATGCATGCCCTGAACCAAAAGCTACTGTAATCATGCTCCCCTAAATCTTTATTGAGCAAGTATATGGCCAAGGTTAATCCCTTGTCTGGGATTGGGGCCAATTCAGTTTGGGGGAGAAGAATGGTTGGAAAAGGAGATTGCCTCAGTTCTTGTCTTTACCATTAACCAATTCCAAAACCTAAGGACATGGGGTGTACCAAGCCAGCAGGTTCTTCTGGGCTCAGGATGACAGTGTCTGGGGGCATCACAGAATAGCTGTACAATCCAATGCAGCCATCCTGCCCACGAAGGAAGATCTATTAGGCCAAATCTGCTGTTCTGGCCTGACCTGGGTGCTGAAGCCTAGCCTGAGCACCAGAATTGTTTCCATTCATGCAGTCTGCTGAGGAGCCAGATTGAGGTTGAAGCAGCTTTTCTCCCAGTCATCACTGATCTCCACTGGGAGAAGATAGAAGTCCCAGTAGTACCAAGCTCTTCCTGAGACTGCAGCCCCACCAGACCTCAGGAGCAAGGAGAGGCGGGCTGGAGAGGAGTTCACTATCCTAATGACCCACACCAAGGCAGCTCAGAGTGTAAACAAAGCCTGGTGCCAGGGACAGAAGAGGAGGATGCAGCCTGGTGTGAGGTTTTCAGAAAAGACCACTTCTAGCACCAAGGTGGGCTTGCTTGGGTCTGCACAGCAGTCCCTCACACCAGCCCGTACAGAGGAACAAGCTATTTGATGACTTGGGTCCATGAGAAGTTCTCCAAGCCATTGACAGCTGAAAGAATTCAGGTAATCCACCTGAATTCCAGAAGTTTCAGCCCTCTTAAAGTTCACATCAGAAGTCCAGAGATTTACTTTCTATCAACTAAAAACTAAGGTCTCAAGTAAAATAAAGGATTATCCTTCAAAATAGCAGTATCACCAGACTTCTGACTCATTAATTTGTTCATTTGTCCTTGTTGGACCTGAACCAGGTAATTGTAGCATGTGACCTATCTATATATTGAAGTGTACCAGGTACGTGAATAAAAAAAATCTGTAAAGTTTACCTTTGCAGGTAAGACTCAACAGAAGATTATACTAAACTAAGCACAAAATCTGTGGTCAGAGTATGTGACCCACCATCACATACCTCTGAGGGCAGAGGGACTCGGTTTGGGGTACTTTGATTTTTAAACACAATCAGCCTATTGTGTCCTATAGAAGAATGAACACTAATGCTTTGCTAGAATTGGTGTTCTGGATTAAATGTCAATAATTAATGAAATACTTTCCCCAGGGAAGGATTTTGAGCCAGAGGAAGAAATGGTAGCATTTTAGGCCTCTATAGTCAGGTGCCTGGATCTGGTCAGAGGAAAACTTCCCATAAAGCAGCCCCTCTGTAGGGACTCCTGGTTCAACCTCAAATATCCAATTCAGAAACCAACCATCCATAGCTATCAACGTAGCACTCCCTCTGCCCCCACTGCAACTTACCAAGGAAGTGTTTGTCAGGGTTGCACTTACCCTCCAGGAGCAAAACTAAAGGACCATTCCCCAGCTCCCCAACCTCCCCCCATCCCCTGAAGTCCTCATCTTCAGGCTGACCCCAGACTCCGAGTCTCCTCCTATAGCTTACCAATGAGATTGAGCATTGGCCCTGCACCCCCTTATATAGTGTGGGTCAACAGGCTCCTTTAATCCAGGAGGTTTGGGACCATAGTCTTGTTATTTGGACTTTGGTAGCTGTGGCCAGCCTTCCAGGCCTCAGGGGAAGTCAGCTGTGGCCTCTAGTCAGTTTTCCTCTCAGTCTTTCTCTCTTCAGCTACATCTAGCTCAGTCAGGACGCAAAAGCAAAGCTGCTGAGTGACTTTGGTGATAGCAGCTAAATGAAAATAGAGAAGCACAGGATTTAGCAAACATTTAGCTACAGCCCCAGCCTGAACACCACAAGGTTGATTAAAGAACATCTGTGGCTCCCTCCCCACCTGTCTCTTGGGTACTCTGTGCCAGGCTTTGCCCCTCACCCCACAACGAGCCTCACTGTCCTCTGTCCCACGCCCAACCAGAGTCTGATGCTTGACTCCTTGTCTTCCGAGGTGGATTGCATTGTCAGGAGGTAGTGCTTAAATCCCAAAATAGGACACTAAAGTTAGAACTAAAGTGATCATGTCAAGATCAAAAGAAAAGTCATGTGGAGCAGACAGATCTCACGGCCTCAACCAAATCACTAGTATGGGGGGAAACTGTTAGCCTCCACCCCCACCCTGCAGGCACCTGTGCACACACAGCCAATGAGTGATGAGGCAAAGAGAAGCTTACCCAGGACATTCCGAATAAAGAGTGGCCTCCGGGACTCTGGCAGGTAAACACCCATGAAGTAGACAGGGACCCCAGAGAAGGCGATCCCAATGCCAATGAGAGAATTGATGGTGTCACTGATGAGAGGCACAATCACCAGAAACACGGAGCATGTGCAGAACACGATGGGAAAAAATAGGCTCAGCTGAAATGGAGAAGGGTGAGAGATTAAATAAGGTAAGATGAAGGAACAGGATATGGGCAAGAAGACATTGGGGAGATGGCCCGACCCTCCTAGTCTGCCCAGAGCTGCTGACCTTGAGAGGCTGGGGTCGCTCGGGCTCCTTCCAGCGAAGGTAGAGCTGTCCAGCAACAGACAGGCCCACAAAGAACCAGTAGCTGAAGCTGAAGTAGTTGATGAGCAGGAAAACATCCTCCACGATGAGGTAGATGAGTGTCATAGTGCACTGTGGGAGGATGTGGGGGAGAAGAGGAGTGAGCATTGTTACCACCAGCCTACCCCAGGAGATTCTGCCATCCAGCAGTCAGTGCTGGATCTGATTTAGCTTCACCAGATCACCTCTGGTTCTTTTCCTTGACCCCTTAGCATCACATAGGTCCATTCTCCACATGAACCTTCCAGGTAGCATCTCTCCCTCTTCTGTTGGGGCTCTTCCTATACTCAATGCCTCCCTTCTTGTTGCAAACACTTCAGTAACAAGCCAGACTCCTTTCCCCTTCTTTTTTTTTTTTTAAGATGACCAGTAAGGGGATCTTAACCCTTGGCTTGGTGTTGTCTGCACCATGCTCAGCCAGTGAGCGAACCGGCCATCCCTATATAGGATCTGAACCCGTGGCCTTGGTGTTATCAGCACCGCACTCTCCCGAGTGAGCCACGGGCCGGCCCTTCCTTTCCCCTTCTGATGGCAGACACTGAGGCCTTCCTCACTTCAATGCACCAACCTCAACAAGAATCACTCTGTGCCCTAGGAAGGTGCTTAGACCTGGGTCCCATACCTAACATACAAATGGGAGAAATGATTCTAGAACTATTCACTGTCCTGGGGCCTCAGAAATTCAGACTGGCAAAATGGATCCATCCCCCTCCAGGGAGAGATATGACAGAATTTGCCCTCTGGAACAAAAGAATCCTAGAGGACAGGGGTCAGGGACTAGAGTCCTGGGACAAGGTCAAACTTCAAGAAGGTAAAATTCTCCCTACCTATCTTTTCACTCCAAATTATCAACAAAGAATTTAAAAAGAACACTGGCCAGTTAGCTCAGTTGGTGACAGTACCGTGTTATAACACCAAGGTCAAGGGTTTGGATCCCCATACAGACCAGCTGCCATAAATAAACAATAAAATAAGATAAAACAAAGAGTCAAGGGAGGACCCTATATTAAGATAAAAGTAGAGTGGTAAGTAACTAACTTAAAAGACAAGATGTCAGATCTCCCCTAAAATTATAAATTCAATTCTGTCCCAGTCAAATATGAAGAGGATTTTTCTTTTTTTTTTAAAAGATGACCGGTAAAAAAAAAAAAAAGGGCCGGCCCGGGGGCGCACTGCTACAGTGCGCCGCTTGGGAGCGCTGCGGCACTCCCGCCAAGGGTTCGGATCCCACATACAGACCGGTTCCGCTCACTGGCTGAGCGAGGTGCAGGCGCAACACCGAGGGTTGCGGTTCCGTTGCCGGTCCTGGTCCGGTACGGGTGCGACACTGAGGGTTGCGATCCGTTGCCGGACATGAAAAAAGACAAAAAGGAAAAAAAAAAAAAAGAAGTATGTTTGTATAAAAGACATTTTAAACAGTTTCCTAGCTGTTTTTGTAGGCACACAATAGCCTGAGAAGTATGGTTTTTGAGGACAGTGGGTAATATGAAACTTGTGTTATCACAAGATGAAAATATTCTTTCCTAACATCACAGAGCTCCAATACTTTACTGAGTATATGGAGTTAAAATTCAGTCAAGCATTTTCAGGGGCTTTGCAGATATTCACACAGAAGGAAAAATTCCTCCATGGGCAGTTGTGAACTAACGAGGAAAGATCTCCTTACCCAAAGACACAAGGTAATCACAATTATCCAGCATCACATCCTTATACAAGTTTCTCTAAGAGGATTTTTCTATTATTTTGACAAAATGATACCAAAGTTCATTAAGACAAATAAATAAATGTGAGAATTGCCAGGAAAATTCCAGGGGGATAAAAAAACAAGTACCCTCAGTCCCCCTAGTTTTCAGATATTCAGTATAAAGCTAAACTAATGAGGCTTGGTGTTGATGGGGAGGATTAGTTGAGATAATACATTTAAGGGGCATACAATTGTACGTGGCACATATTAAGAACCCTAAAAAAATTACCTACCATTATCTTTACATGATAAAAGTTTGAAAACTGGAAAAATGGATTGTTCAATAAATGATATTGGCATAGCTGGCTGGCCTTTTGAGAAAAAATTAAGTAAATCTCTATCTTATTCAATACACCAAAATATAAATTCCTGATGAATCCAAAATTTAAACTTAAGTAACAAAATCATAAAAGAACTAGATGATAAGAAAAAAATGAACTGTTTTTCCAGTCTTGGAGGAGGGCTTTTCTCAGGGTTCCTGTTATGTGATCTATAACGACTTAGCACAAAATAGAAATAGCACTGCACAGGTATGCCCAAACCCCACACTGCCCCGGCACAGCTTACATTGAACAATAAAGCAGGGATGGGTGTAAAACGCTCAACATGGATCATGGACAGAAGGTCCGGGAGGTGACCCTCACGGGAGCCCACAAAGAACAACCTGGAAGGACAAGAATTGTGTCAGCAGGATCTTTTACTCAGCCACACAGCCATACAACTCACTCAGACAAACTAGGCTCTGAGCTCCAGAAAAAAGCAGCAGACAGTCTCAAGAGCATCCCATGCTCTCTATGCATGCCCAGCCCAACCTACCCTTCCTTTATCCACAGGTGTCTCCAACCTCTTCAACCATGGGCACCTCACCACTACCCAAGAATGCCCCCCCGCCAATGTTACCCACTGACAACCCCAGGTCCTCCTCAGCTAGAGAACCCACCATCACCTACAGATACAGACACTCCTACTTCTCTCAACCACAGATACCTCATCAATATCCAACAGAGGACTCACCCGGCTATCACCCCCACTGGCACCCCAATCCACCCCATCAGGGGTACTTCCATTCTGCCATCCCACAGATTCATAGCTAACACAATGGCTTTTTTTTTTTTTTGGCGGCTGGCTGGTACAGGGATCTGAACCCTTGACCCTGGTGTTACAACACAGCGCTTTAATCACCTGAGCTAACTGGCCAGCCCACAATGGCTTTTTAAAGAAGGGCAGCCAGATTTCTGTTTATGCCCTCCATATATCTTCCCTGAGCTCCTGATGTATGACAGGCCAGGGCAAGCCTGGGGATCAAAGAGACAACTCAGGCTTCCTCTCTGCACCTACAGAGCTCTACTGACTGGAAGAAAGACCAGCGGAGAAACGAAAAGCCACCCAGGGTAATCAGCATCATCATGGAGCACACAGCACTCACTCACTAGGCTTGAAGGTAGTCTGGAGGAGCAAAAAGCTTTGAAAGAGATGACCACATCTAGGACAGGAAGAAGAGCTGGAGTTTGCCAGAAATAAATGGGCAGGTGGGGGACCAGCATGTGCAAAGGCAAAAGAGGATTGGAAGCATGAAAGAGTGTGGCCTCTTTGAAGGCTGATGCTAGAATTCCTATAGTCCCAGGATAAGTTGTGTGAGGAGAGGGTGCTGGGAAGAACCTTCATACGAGGCCATGCTGTAGAGTCTGAACAAGCACTGGGAGCGGCTGTGGCTTTGAAGAAAGGGCCTGATGGGATTTGATGCCAGAGACTCCTGGTGGCATCATGGAAGCTGCACTAGAGTAGGGAGAGGCCAGGGTATAGGAGGGAAGGCCAGACAAGCAGGTCATCTATCACAACTGTCCCATAAGAGAGGAGGCCTGAATGACAGTGGGCACCCGAGTGAGGAGAGAACAAGACAGATATGATAACCTTAGTCAGATCCTCTGTGTGTGTGTGTGTTCATGTTTGAGCTGGGGGAAGAGGGTGGACACCAAGGGAAAAATCAAGATGCCAAGAAGACAAGCAAGGAAGACTGATGGACCATAATAGCACAACTGGAGACAAATCACACATGGAATGCACAGTAAGTTTGAGATACTTGTGCACCATTGAGGTGGAGCCAGAGGAGCTGATGACATCACCTAGAAATGTGTTGTGGGGCAAGATATTAGAGTTGGATCATGAGGTTAACAACTTGTACTAGGTAGAGAAGAAATAAGATAGAGGGGATGCTGAAAGAGGGAAGGAGTACAAAGCCAAAGGCAGCTACATGAATAATCAATAAGGGTGAGGCTATGGGAAACACCATCTTGGTGGGGCACCCTGTGAAGAGCCACATCAGGTACAACCTTGGCCACACCAGGCTGAGGTGAGGGAATATGACACTATACACATACCCACACACCCACTTTTATTTTATTTATTTATTTTTTGTGTGTGTGGCTGGCCAGTATGGGGATCTGAAACCTTGACCTTGGCATTATGACACTATATTCTTACAAGGCCTTGATGTCTTTAGTTGCCCCAGGGAGGCTCCAAGTACACAGACTGGTGTGTGAAAACTAGTAATAAGAATGAATGAGACAAACCTATTTTACTGATTCATCCTTCTATGTGTTCATGTGGCAAATATTTATTAAATGCTGATATGGTCTGAATGTGTGACCCAAAAGTGGATGTGTAAGAAACTTAATACCCAATGCAACAGTGTTGGGAAGTGGGCCTAATAAGAGGGATTGGCAGGGCTAGCCAGTTAGCTCACTTGGGAGAGCGCGGTGCTGATAACACCAAGGTCAAGAGTTCGGATCCTCTTACAGGCCAGCCACCAAAAAAAAAGAAAGAGGGATTGGGTCCTCAGGGCAGAACCCTCATGTATGGATTAATGTGATTATCACAGGAGTGTATTAGTTATCATGAGAGTGGGTTGTTACAAAGTAAGTCCAGCCCTTGATGCCTCTCTCTTTCACAGGTACTCATTTATGCTTCTGCCCTTCTGCCATGGTATGACAAAGCCAGAAGCCTTCACCAGATGCCAGCCCTTGATATTGGACTTCCCAGCCTCCAGAAGAGTGAGTTAAATAAATTTCTGTTCGTTATAAATTACCCAGTCTGCTGGTTAGAGCATGGTGCTGATAAAACCAAGGTCAAGGGTTTGGGTTCCCATACCAGCCAGCTGCCAAAAAAATAAAACTTAAAAATTAAAAAATAAATAAATAAATTACCCAGTCTGTGGTATTCTGTTACAGCAACAGAAAACGGACTAAGACAAATGCCTATTATACTCCTGGCCCTGGGACAGCAACATTTATAGGATGAGTAGAAGAGAAATCAAGAAAGCAGCCTTCTCCTCTGACATCAGATGTCACAGAAGCCATGGCAATGGTTTCAAAATTAGAAAATGGTCAGTGTCACTTGCCTCAGAGGTCCAGTAGGATAAGGACTGAAAGCAGGCCAAGAACAAGGTACCCTTAGTAAGAATATTTTTCAGGTAATAGAAGCCAAACAATAACAGGTAGAAAAAATGAATGAAAGTTGAAATGAAAACTATTCTCTCAAGAACTATGTCCAGTCAGGGACAGAGGGGAGATGGGAAAAGCTGTTTTGTGACTTCTGTAAGTGGAGATAAGAGAAGCTCATGGAGAGCTGACTCCAAGTGAACATCCACCAAAGAGAAGGGCCAACTGATGAAGCAAAGTGCTGAGGAAGAGGGGAAGTGCTGGAACCACGAGACCAGGTAGCAAAGTTAGCTTGAAAAGATGGACCTGCCTCTTTCTCTGCAATGACAGAAAGGACAAGTACTCTTATAAGTCTGCACAGAGAAGAAAGCAGGAGCCTACTTAATGGCTTCAGTGTTTTCTGTGAAGTGAGAGGCAGAGTCATCCTATGCATAGCACTAGCACCTGGTATAGAGCAAGAATCAATCCTGGGGCTGCAGCATAACCCACAAGGAGCCTCGAATCTGGTCCCTGCGAAGGTTACTACTCCAAGCTACTGCCTTCCTCCCCTATACCTTTTATCAATCTGTACTCACCTCAGATGGAAACATGAGCTACCAGCACTCAAATGTTTGCACAAAGGCAAGTACATCCATACAGACACATCCTGCATGCCCATGAAAGAAAGAAGGGGAAAAAGGAACTCTTATGCCTAGAGCCCCAGAGAATAAAATATTCCAGTCTGTTATGGGTGAAGCAGAGGCACAGTACCTTGATGAAGCAAAGATAGATGCGTTGAGGCCACCAAAGCAAGACAGGGCAACGGCAATGGGAATGGTCCAGCTGAACATGCCAAACGTCTGGTCAGCAAATGTCTGGGAACAGAGCACAGAGGAATCACTCAACACAGGACAGGGTTTCATAATCCCACATCTGTGATCTTCGGACAAAGGTAGTCACTGCTGAGGAGCCCACCCTCTGGCCTAAACCCATGACTTCATCCTGCAGAGCTGGGGCAGCTGCAGAAAGACAGATTGAGCCATTAAGGGTAGCTAAATATTGGGCCGGCCTGTGGCTCAATTGGGAGAGTGTGGTGCTGATAACACCAAGGCCACGGGTTCGGATCCCATATAGGGATGGCCGGTTTGCTCACTGGGTGAGCGTGGTGCTGACAACACCAAGTCAAGGGTTAAGATCCCCTTACTGGTCATCTTTTACAAAAAGGGTAGCTAAATATCATGAAATGAGGAGTGCATGGGGATCCCAAGAGACTCACCACAGCCACAGCATCACTGCTAAGGACCTCTGAAATGCTCAGCACTGTGTAATAGGCCACGTTGGTCAGGGTGTAGATGAGCGTCACAATTGGCATAGAAATCCCAATGGCCAAGGGCAAATTTCTGTCAGGACAAGTGAGATAGGACTACCTAGAATCAAATTCTCCTCAGGATCAAAGTTCATCAAGTCTCCACTGGAATTTTCCTAACATTTAATACTTCACTGGCCTCTAGGTCTTTGAGGCAGGTTCATCTTCCCCTCATGCCCAAGGGTGGGTATTCTACCATGCCCCTGGGCTCTTTCTACTGAGAAAGACCTTTGTCTGTGAAGATAGTTTATGATCAATATTTGAACTTCACTACAATGGGGCCAATGGGTCCCACAGGGTTTCATAATCCTCGTGCATCTATGATCTCAGGACAAATGTAAGGAACAGTGTCCTCTGGGAACTAGAGGCCAGGCTGGGGACCCAACTGGCCAGAATAAGCTCTGTGCAAGGTCCTAACACCTTAGCCCCAGCTGGGTCTGCTACTGCCCATTGAAAAGCCTCTCTAGGAAGGACCCTGGGGATCCTCCAGTGTGAACATGAAGGCAAGGAGCCAAGGTCTTTCCCACCTTCACTCACTCCCATCCTAGCCCTCAACCCCTCCTAGCTGGAGAAGGAGCATAAGGAAGAAGGGGGGAGGAGAGAGAGGGAAGAGGGCAAGCATGCCCAGTATCAGCAGGACTTCCAACCAAGTTGGGGAGTGAGAGTGTGATTCCACCTTTACCTTTCTGGGTTTTTGATTTCTTCTGTTACAAAATTAAGGGTGTCCCAACCTGAGTAAGAGAAGAGGGCAGAGTAGAGGGCAAGAGAGAGGTTTCCCACGTCCCAGGAGGAACCCTTAAAGGCGTCCTGAAAGTGCTCAGAGTGTCCTGTGGGGGCAAAGGCAGGTGGGGGGGGAGGTTCAGGAAGAAGGAAGAGGTTGAAGAAGAAGAGGGGAGGAGAGATAGAAAGTATAAGGAGAAGAGGAAGGACGGGGAGGGAGAGTAAGAAAAAGGAAGGGAAGATAAAAAAAGAAAAAAGGGAGAGGAAGACAGAGAGGGACAAGAGAAGGAAAGGAAAAACAAGAGGGCAGGGGGAAGAAAAAAATAATAATTTAACACCAAAAGAACAACAACCACCTGCTCCCTACACTTTACCACCCCACCCACTCCCTCAAAGCTCATATTCCTTCAGTAAAACTAGACAAGCTCAGAAAAACAAAGGCATTCCTGGCTGCCCGCTGATGTGACAACACTTTTCCCAAAACCCTAAGGAATTTCCATTTTCTGTAAGTGACCTCACAGTAGGCCACAGTTCTTCTTCCTATTTTTTATAAAGAACCCTATTTCACATAAAGGTCATTTTTCATTAACAATTAGACCTTCCTGTGGAGGAATTAACTCTCTTGGCCCAAAGCACGACACAATTTGGTCAATGAGTTTATCAGTCTCATCTGATAAACTCTGCTATTCTACTTGCAGTGGGATGGTTGCATGTGGTAGGAAATCACAGGCTATAGGGGCACTGGGTCTTATTATCTTTCAATGGGTCTGGGCCATCTCCACCCTTCAGGGAGCCAGCCCAGACCCAGGCACCTGTCATTCTCCTTGGAGGTTTCTGGAGACCGCAGAGCTGAAAGCCCAGGGGGGTAGCACCCAAATGCCCAGGACAGAGACATTCAGCGCACACTGGAGTTTTTAATAAGGCTCAGACTTCTAAGGAAACCTGTGTCACTCCCTACAGAAAGACTGGACCCAGCTCTCAATGTGGCAAAAATGGCTGAGTGTGCAGCAAGAGAAGGGAAAATAGACACCATCCCATCTCCAGGGTTATCAGTCATCACACACAGCAGTGGTTCCCTAAGGCACATATCTTGGGGGTAGGATTACTCAATTATTCAATTTAACCCCAAGATGCTCCTGAGACTGGGATATAGAGACAACTGGCTGTACTAACTTGGCCTGCATACATAAAGGTGCTGGACCAGGTGCCTAAGAAACACCCAGGGCACTTTTTTTGTTGGATTTGGGGAGCAGCTGGCCAGTATGAGGATCTGAACCTTAACCTCAGTGTTATAACATCATGCTCTAACCAACTGAGCTAACTGGCCAGTCCCCAGGGCACTCCTTAAAATCACAGCTTTTTAGACTTCAAATCAATCAGAGTGTGATCTAACAGGTCCCCCGGTTATCGTAAACACAGGTGATTATAAACACAGCTATGTTTAGGGATTGATGATCTAGAGAACTAGGTTGTTAAATGATTGAGATTATCTTTGGCAAAAGACATCTCAGGACTTCTCCAAGGGTTCAGGAGATCTTGGTAAACCTGTTACTGTCACTGCAGAAAGTGATCTGCATTCCTGGATCTGATCCAGGAATGAAAAACTTTCTAAAGCCAACATGCAGGGAAGACAGTGCCAATTTCACAACATTTTAATATTTTGCTGAGGTCTGACTTTGGGAGGGAATGCTTAATACAAGTCCAGATGAAAAGTAAAAGCTGCAAAATGACCATCCATTTCCACACCTACCTCCCCCACAACACACACACCCTGCCACCCCCTTCAAAGAAGGCTAGGTCTCTCTACTCGCTGCCTGGCAGTCACAGACCAAAAAGAGGAGCCACTCTATCCCCCCAGATTACTTTCAAGACCCAATCGTGACCCAAGTTTTAAGGGCTCCTAGGCCCTCGGCTGGCGTCCTGCAATGCTCCCAGCCTCCACAAAAGGAAAAAAGCCCTTAGGGAGGGGCTGACTTATGTCCAGTTGGCCAAGCCAGCCTGGCCCAAGAAGCCCAGGAAGAGATTTATTCCCATCTCTTGTACTCACTGACACACTCTAGCATGTACCTAACCCTAACCCTAACTCTGAGAAAGAGCTGAACAGTAAATCTAACCGAGTCCCCATGTCCTCCTCAGGGAATCCAGAGGAACTCCTAGAGACATCCACCCTCCTTCCCACCTTGGGCCCCTCTTACCCTGGCACAGTTTAATAAGGCCCATGACAATGATGGCAATGAGCGCTAGGACCTTGGCGTAAGTGAACGTGTCCTGCACACGTGTGCCCCACTTGACATAGGCACAGTTCACAAATGTCAGCAGACCTAGGAGGAAAACCATAAGATCACTAGCAGGCTTGAGCTGAGGGCAGAGAGGCCCAACCTCTCTTTACAGAGAACATCACTTCTGCTCTTTCTGCCTAAGGCAAAGGGGCCAATGGACCAGTGAGAACCAGGAGAACAGGCAAACAGGGTGACACCCTGCACCTGCCCCAGCTGACAGCACCCATGAACATCCCATCATTGTTGACATTCAAAGACACAAAGGCATGCATAAACACATATTCGTACATTCTGACAACCAGCACCATTTTTGGAAATTCTCCCCTCCGGCCCAGGAACAGTTGACTTTATCCACTCTTCCCTACCCAGACTCCCAAGGGTCCAAACCACAAGAGCCACAAGACCTCTCCATGGCCACTTTAGAGAATGGGGACAAGAGAGACCCATCAATAAATGAATGCAGATGACAGGTCACCTAGGAATTAGAGAGAGATGTTTTGTGTGTAAGTGTTAAAAAAGAAAAGCCTGTAATGTGCCTGACAATTTCACATACATCCTCTCAATCAATTCTCATGACTCTGAAATACAGATATTCTTATTCCTATTTTATAGATGAAGAAACTGAGACTGAGAATTCCCATTCTCAAGCTCACATTCCCAAGCCCACTGATTCCCTCCCACCCACCACTGGGTCCTATCCAAACCTCCCAATGCTCAGGTCCATGGAGAAGTGGTGAGTCTGTTTGAGTGTTCCCTAGGCTCAAGTCAGCATTGCTGGCTTTAAGCTCCAGCTCCTCACACACTTCAGTGACGTGTGGGCCCTCTGTTGAGGGTCCAACATTTTGCCCCTGCCAAACCATGTCGGCTCTGATGCAAGGGGAAGACACAAAAGCAATATACAAGCAGTTTTACGGCAAGAAAGAAAACGGTGACACTTCTAAGTACTGTCTCTAGCCTCCAAAAATAGAGCTTTTATGTGTAACTCAAATGTTATTACAAAATCTTTTGGGTCCAGGGGCTGGCCAGTTAGCTCAGTTGGATAGAGCATGGTGTTATAACACCAAGGTCAAGGGTTCAGATCCCTATACTGGCCAGCCATCTAAATAAATAAATAAAAACAATGTTAGGGGAAAAAAATCTTTCAGGTCCAACCTCTAGGCCACCTCCACCTCTTTCTAACCCATTTTGTACTCTCTCCTTCAGCCAGACTCTCTTCCTTATTCACGCCAGACATACACATACAAGAAATGTCCTCTCCTCTTCTTCCTGCCATAGCCAACAGCAACTCCCACTTTCAAAGTCTTGCTCAGTCCCCATTTCCTCTGTAAAACCTTCCCCAATTACACCAACTCCCTGAGCTCTCTCCTCTGAACCCCATGGCATTTCCGTTTCACAGCACAGCTTAGTGTCTAATGCTATGGTCATGTGGACATCTGTCTCAAGTCGGTCTCTCCCAAGTAGGTACTTGAGTCATGCTTCTCCAAAGAGATCACAAACTCTCAGAGGGCAACAAAAGCATACTGCTTCCTTAAGCTCATCACCAAGCAAAGAAGGGAAGTAATGGGCCCTGGCTGGAATCAAGGTGGTCATGACTTTTACTAAACTGCCAATTCCCTGGGACAAGGCAATTGTGAGAAGGTTGGACCTTGGTAAGGAACACCTAGGGTCAGCCTGTGGAAATAAACACAGGTGACTGAGCAGCCGCATAGCATTTGAAGAAAAGTCATTCAATACGCTGGCAGACAATACAGGTATTAACTAGTCAGTCATATGAGATGGGGGTTGAGGGGACAGTGGTCAAGAGGGGAGAAGAGAAGAAGCCCAAAGGAATGCATACTGCTGGTAGGTCTTCCCAGGGACCTACCCTGCTGATAAAAGTTTTCTGTGTGGGGCTAAGACTAGATCAGCTAACATAGGAGTACCTAATTAATAGCCACCAGTAATCCACAGACCCCTGTGCAATACAGTAAGCATATTTTGAGTTGCCTGCCCAACCCCTTCTTGGAAATTGCTCCCTCCCCACCATTGTGGCTGATAGAGCCAGACACCAAGCTGAGCCTATTAGATTGTCTCTCTCAGGAACATGGAGTTGAAATACTAAGAGACTGAATCTGTCTAACAGTAGCAGGCAAAAGAGTCAGGAGCCACAGCAAATAACAGAGGAACAGAAACCCCAAGTAAGCAGAGGAAGGAAGTGGGACCACAAAAAGCAGCAGAAGTGCGAGGGCATGCAGCTTTGAGAGAAAAACTGACAGAGAAAGATGAGGAAATACACAGAAGACAGAGACAGAGGAGAGAGATGAGACATGACAAGGTGGAAGAAACAGAGAAAAGGAGAGACAAGATGGCACCAACCATCCACCAAAAAAAAAAAAAAAAAAAGAGGAACATACACACAGAGAAAGAGACTGACAATATCCTGCTGTGTTCACTGTGCTAGAGACAGAGGAGAGAGATGAGACATGACAAGGTGGAAGAAACAGAGAAAAGGAGAGACAAGATGGCACCAACCATGCACCAAAAAAAAAAAAAAAAAAAAAAAGATGAACATACACACAGAGAAAGAGACTGACAATATCCTGCTGTGTTCACTGTGCTTCTGGTTTGTAGCCCCAAGATGGGGGAGAGAAGTTTATACACTCCTCAGCCCCACACTGACAAGCACAGTCTCACTTCTGCTCCTTCTCCTTCCCTCCATCCTGCTACAAGTTTCCCATGTGGCTTGGTCCTCTCTGTACACAAGTAAATATTGCACACAATGGAAATTCAATATCTATATGCTAAACTAATGAACGAAGGCAGCACTCATGGGAAGTCCCTGCAGAGCCTATTCCAAAAGACCAGCTAGAAGAATAACTCTAAATAACTGGACAACAAACTCTCATGCTCAATAGTCCACTTAGTGACAGATGATTTTCTGACAAAAGCACCGGGTCAGAGTGGTTTTCTCTGGGGAGGAAGACTAAATATCTGTAGAGAGAGGCAGACCCTTTTTTTTTTTTTTTTTTTTTTTTTACATAGCCTTTTTATACTTTGACTAAAGGTGCACGTATGCTTCTTTCTCAATAAAAATAAAAATAGTTAATTAGCAACCATGTATATAGCTAGAGAGCAGGGCCAGTGGAGGCTAAAGCCAATAGGGTGGCTAGGGCACAAAATTTAAGGAGGCACTCACTCTCAGGGCACTCACTCGCAGGAACCTGAGAGTAAGTACATCCTTAAATACTGGCCACAGGTGCCTTGCTTGCCTCACCCTACTCTCAGCCCTGCCAGAGAACAAAGAGCTCTGAGAACAGTCTGCTAAGAGGAAGCCAAGTCCTCTGACTGTTTTTCTGATTCTAATTAAGAAATAAAATTTCACCATCTGATCCCCACCCTTCCATACCTCCCAGAACCAGTCCCATCTAGCCCACCATGGACTGATTATCAGCGTTCAAACAAACACAACAGGGTGGGGCCTTAAGACCAGGTGCTCAGATTCAACTACCACAACTAAAACATCCAAGCCTTCCCTCTTCTGATTTCATTTCCTTGCTGGAAGAGCTACACCAATGAGCGTGGGACCCATGTGAGGGTCTTCAAGGCTCTCTGGGAGCTTTTTGCTGAGAAAGGAGTACTTGAATAGCAAATCCAGTCCCAACCCCAAAGCAGAAACAAATCCCCAAAGTCTCTCTGTGGCAGAGACTGCTAGTTATTTTCCAGTATCTTTTTTTTCCTTTTTCTTTAGTAATAGACATTTTGGCTGAAGTCATGACTGCCCAAAGTAAAGTTGACATTTCTCAGCCTCTCCTGCAGATAGGTATGTCCACGTAACTAGGTTTTAACCAAGAGATGTAAGCAAATGTTTCATATAAAACCTCAGGAAGTATCTTTGAAGGGAGAGGTGTGCCTTTCTTTGTCCCTTCTGTCAGTTAAAATGCAGACACAACAGCTGGAGCTTGAGTAGCCATCTTGGACCACCGGCTAGAAGTCAGGTGCTGAGGATGGCAGAGCAGTAAGACAGAAAGAAGAAACCTGGCTCCCTGAAGAATTTTTGCAGTTGTCCAGCCCACTCTTCCTACAGTTAACACATGAGAGAAATAAACTTCAATATGTTTGAGCCATGCTGCTTTGTGTTTTCTGCTGTTTGAAACCCACACTAATCTTGAATAATACATGTGCCCTCTGACAGAACTGCATCTCTCATACTCTTTCTGATGAGGAGATGGCCTGGTAACCCGAAGTTGTAGTCCCAGCTATGCTGATTTTCACAGGTCCCTTTTACCACAGGCAATAGGGAGGGGAGAGAAACTTTCCAATCACTCTCACAAACAGGCTACCTATTACTAAGGAGCATTCAAGGACAGAGGAGCACAATCCTAAACCACAACAAAAAAGGTGGGAGAAGAAAAAAAGGGGGGGGGGCGGGAACCAACTACAAGTCTATTACCAGTGAAATGCTCTGCAGAAGTCCAGAGGAAGTAAACCCTTCCAAATGGAGATCCCAGAATCAGCAGATACCTCCTAGGGTATGTATGAATATGTAATGTACATGCCTTTTTTAAAAGTATCCTTTTTTTCCAAAGTATACTTGTTTTTAATTATGCAAATGCATTTATTCTTATTATGAAAACATTCAAACTATATATAGGGTTAGATTCTTTGAGCAACTAAGATCAAGGCCCAGTCCTTCTTAGGCCTATGTCACTCTCGGAACATGAAAGCTGTCTATCCATAGCAACAACTGACCAAAATAAGAGAGCATCCTTTCTACTCAGAACCCTGACCAGGCCTGAGTCCAAGACAGTGGAAAGATATTCAGGGATCATACCGTGTTTCTTCACTTCTGTCTCATCCTTGACAGTCTCCTTCCTACGCCTTCTCCTCCTCTTCATTGTCACCCCTAACAAACAAACTCTTAGGGGAAATGTAGTCTCAGCTGTGAGAAAGAAGGCTTTGATGCTACTGTGTCAGCACTGAACTAACTCCATGTTGAAACCTTCAAGGCAAATACTCTCCAGTGATGTATGAGCCTACACAACTGGCAGGATGCCTAGGTCAAA